TCGCTCGCGCGCAGAATACTTTAGTATATGTTATTGCGACGCGTTACTCGCTGACGCTCGTAACCCTTTCGCAATAAAAGATTCCTTAAAGTTCTACCGCTCATAAAAAAAAAGAGACTGTAGTCAGCGGCGTAAACTATAAGCATAAGCGCTTATAAAAAAACTGACTGCAGTTAACAGTGTCAGTTATAAGCATAAGCACTAAGCGCTTGTAAAAAAGAGACTGCAGTTAACGGTGGAAGCTATAAGCACTAAGCGCTTATAAAGAAAGAGACTACAGTCAACAGTGTCAGTTATAAGCATGAGCAACAAGCGCTTATAAAAAAAGAGACTGCAGTTAACAGTGTAAGCTATAAGCGTAAGCACTTAGCGCTTACAAGAACTGATTGTAGTTAACGGTATAAACATCAGAATCAGCACTTAGCGCTTATAAAAAATTGATTGTAGTTAACGGTGTAAGCTATAAGCTTAAGTACTTAGCACTTGTAAATGAAGAGACTGTACTTAGCGGTGTAAACTGTAAGCATAAGCACTTAGCGCTTACAAGAACTGTCTGTAGTCAACGGTGTAAACCATAAGCATCAGCACTTAGCGCTTATAAAATATTGACTGTAGTTAACGATGTAAGCTATAAGCATCAGCACTTGACGCTTATAAAAAAATTGACTGTAATGGTTGAATAGGCAATCTCTTTACATTTCAATCCTAATGTCCCTCACGCGCTATGTCTCTCGCTGAGCCCGTCCCATTACGCATTAAAAGTTTCTTAACTGCTATCAGGCCCAGCAAAATCTTGACGGCAACGGACATTCAAATATTAATCAAAACCTCCAGTCCATCGAGAAGGACATGAATGTCGTTCTACATTCCACCCTTCCCCAACTCCATTCCGTTCATTTCCACCTTGAGTCCATTTCTACACCATTTTACTTTCTTAAGTCGTATTCTCCCACTTTTTCATAATCGTAATCGCCAGATATAAACGGTTTAAACTCGACCACTCCTATGCGGCATCACCTCAATCAATCGATTGTCCTTCTCAGTGATAGCTCATTTGAACGCCAGGACCAAGTAAGTTGACTTTCGGTTATGGATGATGACATCGACCTTAGTGGCGAGCATTAATGTTAATTTTCTCCGGTGAATGCTTAAGTTATATAGACTCAAACTCGGCCTGCGACATCTACGCGCTCTCCAGTATACTGCTGTTGCCATGGATAGCCGGTTTGAGCATTTGGTGTAAAAGGTACAGCAAGATGTATGCCATCTGTTTTTATGACATAAATACATACATTTGCATTAAAGGCAAATTTACTGACGCAACTAGGCTATAGTGAACTGCTTCATGTCCAAAAGAGATACTGTACAGGCTGTTGTATCGTCTAATAAGAGGAAAGTGGATGGGAGGTTGGTGAATGACTTTAACGGTAGAATTAGCACGCGTACAGCAAACTAACTAGCATAATGTGCAATGTTATTGGTGTGTCGCATAAAAACAACACCAACGGCTATTATCTGATAACGGACAATTCCCAATCCATGCTCCAATTGCAGTTCGAGATTTGGTTAAGGCTGGAGATCATAAATGTCTATACTTAACTACCAATTCACCGTTCTTGAATCTTGTTGAAGGATTTGTTCGAAAGCGAGGGCTGATATAATGACAGACATGCTGACCGAGGGAGAAAGACTGAGTGGTCATCGACAACTCTGATCCTACGAACAGAACGCGAAAAGATGCTGTGAGTAAAGTGGTGAGGACATATAATAACATCAGAGGGCCTCTTCCATTTATGCGTTAACTTCGGAGTTATTCAACGTTTAGTCTATGTAGGCAGGACAAAGGAATACGATGCAACGCATCACATTCTGCGTCCACCACTGATGCTGTGGTACTGTTACTGCGCTCAGAAATAATAAACTGATCAAAAATCTGATCCTGCAAACAGAATGCAAAAAGATGCAGTGCTTAAAGTGGTGGGGATATTTTGGACTGTGCGCCTAGCCATAATTTAACCATCAACAACTCGATCTTACGAACAGACTAAGAAAAAGATGCTGTGATTAAGGTGGTGGGGATATTTTGAACGGCGCTCAGACATAATTCAGCCATCAACACCTCTGATCTTACAATCAAAATGCAAGAAACTGCTGTGATTAAGATGCTGGGATATTTTGGAATGCGCCCTGATATAATTCTACCGTAAAGAACTTTGATCTTACGAACAGACTGCAAAAAGATGCAGTGATTAAGGTGGCGGGGACATTCTGGACTGAGCCCAGACGAAATTCAACCATCAACAAGTCTGATCTTACGAACAGACTGCAAAAAGATGCAGTGATTAAGGTGGTGGGGACATTTTGGACTGCGACAAGACATAATGCAACCATCAACAACTCTGATCTTACGGACAGACTGCAAAAAGATGCAGTTATTAAGTTGGTGGGGACATTTCGGACTGCGACAAGACATAATTCAACCATCAACAACTCTGATCTTACGAATAGACTGCAAAAAGATGCAGTGATCAAGACAGTCAGCTATGACCGAGTCCCAAATGGCACTCCTCCAACTTATCGACTCTCTTTCTTCTTCTTGCTCGTCCCAAATGATTGTCAACCAATCTGTTGGCCCTCTCTTCTCTCGCTCTGTAGGCCTCTTTCAAGGCAGCATTCTCAGCCCATGGCTGTTCAATGTCTATATTAACGACCTTGCCGAAAAAATCGCCCACATCGACCCCCATCCCTTCATTCCTCCTCTCCTCCTCTTCGCCGACGACATCTTACTGCAACCCTCCACTCCTTCCATCGCCAAACGTATGCTATCCATTGTCCAAACCTGGAGTGTTCACAATAGTATTAATGTCAATGTCAACAAATCGGTCATTATTGCCACCCCTTTCTCTCGCTCTCTTCAACTGACACTGAACGCTCTCCCCTTCCTGTCGTTACTTCTTATTATTACCTTGGTATCCCCTTCACGGCCAAGGGTCTCGACTTTCCCGCTTTGTTTCTTCTGTCGCCACGCGTACACAGAAATTGTTCTTTGCGTCAACAAAGAAAAGTTATGGATGGTCTCCTTACATCCGACTTGTTCTTTTCAAAACCTTTTTTTTATCAACGTATGACTATGCCTTGCCTCTCCTCTATGCCTCCAATACCCCCATCGCCCCTCTTCTTAAACTCCAAACCATTATGACACAATGGATCTGCCAAGGCCACCGCGGTAGTGAAATTAACCACATCTTGACTGGGCTGTCATCTATTTCGGCGCGAATGACGGAACTAACCTTCCGCTTTCAAGTCAAACTCCTCTCATTACATACTGACAACCCCATACATTCCTTTCGCGCCACTCTCCTTTCCGGACCCTCCCCACTAGTCCCACTCCAACGCAAGCTCCTCTTTTCCCTCTTCATTCCCACCGCGACAATACCTCCAACTTGCGGACGGATCCCCTCTCTGGGATCCCCTTACCATCAAGGAATACATCCGTAATTATAAACTGCACCTTTACGCCACCACCCCGTCTCCCCTCGCCCGCGCCCGCGCCATCCTGCCCACCGCTCGGGATAGAGCATTAGTCGACATATCTATACGCATACAAAACCCAAAAATACGATCCTTAGCTACCGGGTTAATACCTTACTCTCGCAATGCAATTGCCAGTGTGGTGAAGTCCTCACACGATGCTACAACTTAAAGCTCCCTCCTCGGTGCTCGAGAGTCAAGCCCACTCCCATCTTCTCTCCCTTAGCCACACTATAATTATGTCGACCATGCTCTGAACCGGCGCAAAATCCGCCTCTTCCTCTCCTTTTTACATTTCGTCACCGGCAGTGACGACTTTGACTTTCAACCGCCATAACAATAACGTAACAACCCCCCTCTGTTAGCTTCCTTTTTCCTTCTTTTTCCTTATCACATTCCTTTATATTTCTGTCTATATTCTATCTTCTCACCCCTATACCTTTCTGTTTTTTCCTCCTAATTCTTTCCTTCTCATTCCAATCTTTCCGCTTACTATTTCTTTTTCTTCTCTTCACCACCCTTTCTACTTGCTCCATTCTCTTTACCTACTTTCTTCCTATCACGCCGGGCAACGAGGCTTTCTCGCTTCGCTCAGGCGCATATAATTCCAGTATGCTATTGCTAAGTGTTACTCGCTCGCTTGTCTTCCTTAAGCAACGCTTTGAATTTCACCATGCATTGTTTCGCGGTGAAAGACCCGACAACTTTTTGGATTTTTTGGATCTGCCACGAACGACCGTCCTTACTTCGTCTGAAATAAATCATAGGACTAATTTTACAAGACGCGGCGGCAATTAACCAAAGCAAAGTTTTCCACGGTAAGTAGTATATTCTCAAGCTGATCGACTTATGCATACTAAACCAACCTCCGTTTTATCAGCCGGAAAGATGGCATGTTTCTTTTTGGAAAAAAATCTTGCGGAGACCTCTTTCTTGGCCAATTTTGATCAATGTAGACATTACTACGAGGTAAAGTGTAGTATCTTACACCGAATCAAAAAGTTCAATACTTCACTGACATGCAAATACATAGAAACAAGTTTTGGCAAGAGACAGTTTCCGTGGTTTCTACCTGAGCCATAGAAGGCAAAAGGCCAGGAGAACCACGGAGCTGCTGACCAAAAGGGTCAAGCAGCAGATGGCGAGGGTTGAAAGGACGTATCTGGATCCTTCCTCAGTGGCACATAAGGTGTTCCTTATGTGCATAGGCGACGGTGGCCCTGGGGTTGGATCCCACATCAAGGGGCCACTTGAGACGTGGCGGGAAATGGCTACAACGGCTGAATGCTCATAGCACCGTTGTAGCCATCACCAACGAATATAGAAGCAGCCAAACCTGTGTCTTTTGCTTTGGTCAAGTGACGAGACCACTCACTCCAAGCGGTAGCAAAGTCCTTGGAGTTTCGAGATGCCTGAACAGCAACTGTCTGGCATTTCAGACTGGTCGAGCTTGCCAAGGCAGGGACACACAGGCTTCTCTCGCCATTGCTCTTGCTGGCCTATCTACAATCATAGATGGTCAGCCCCTTGCACCTTTCAACTCTCGCCTTGGACAAAGATAAGACAGACTTAGTGTTGCGTAAGTTCACAATATTTTTCTTTATCTACAGTTTATAAATGCATTTGTACTTCACTAAAAAGTTATTCCAGATTCAGTCCTTGTTTCGCATTGCTTCATTTGCTTCCGTTTCGCATCGCTTCTTCATTTGCTTCGTAATAGAAATAATATGTTTCAACATCCAGCAGCAAATTGATCATACTCTGCATGTGAATTTTAAACATCGTAAGAAGGTTGGATGCGAATGGGTTATAAGCAACATAAATAAGGAAAATACGCATTGAGGATCATACGCTATTTGGGATATCAGTTATGCTACATTTCAACTGAATCTTATGCGTAGTATCAGGAACCTTTTAGCATTCATGCGTCGATAACTTCCTTTTTTCCTGTCGATGTATCCCATGAGTTCATTCATTAATCAATCTTTGATGAATCAGAAAGTTGATGTGATGCCGTGACTGACATCAATCAGTGATTGATCAACGGTCATGAAAATGTGCGTTTGAAAGGTGCCACAATCAAGAGTGGTATCTTTCATGGTTACCGTAATGACAAAAATTAAGTGATTTTACGTTTGAACTTCAAAAATGATTGCAATGCTGAAAAATGATTCCTGTAGACTATAAACGCGTCCGCCTAAAAAAAAACCTCGGCGATGATTTGCACAACTATTTACTCGTATTTTTTTTTTGGAGGACTGGTACTCTGATGGTGAGTACCGCATTCATATATGTTTAAATTCAGCGTACCTAATCGTGCACTATATAATTAACTTGACACTCATTATCATAGCTGCAGTCCTCCCGTAAAAAAAGAAGGCCAACCCTTCAATTTTGTTATGAAACCACTGCGTGTCTTTTCCATTTTTTTTCCGTTAACGCAACAAGTAAGTTTTAACTTTCTATCAGAATTTCAGATGTATCACAGAACTAATCCTGTTTTCTAATAAAGAACTGTTTCGCCCCGCTCTTTTGAACAGGATGCGGCGGCTGGCACTTGGTTTGGCCAGGAAAACCGATGATCCTTCGGGGGAGGGTAAGTATAGTCTTCTACGTTTGCATTTTCATCCGACATTCATTTTTGACGATTGCCTTTCAAAAACTCCTATATCTCCACTATCTTATCTGTGAGTATACATGTTTGATTCTGTTTCTCCTGCCATGCTTTAAGTTACTAATGATTTTCGAGAATAAAATTTTCAGGCTCTCTGCTCTGATATCGTGACTTTAATTAATTTTTGTATTGGCGTTAATAAACAGTGCAAGGTGTTACTTTAATTCCTAGGCATTTTTTTTTCATTTTCTCCTTAACTTGTTTCACTAAGAGTGAGTGCCTAGAAGGCTAGGCCAAGCAATTCATAAAATTGACAAGTATAGACAGCGAAAGCATGGCTTTACTATGGAAATTTTTATGTTTCGGTATGGAATATGTTCGACATTTTATAAAGGAAAGCAAAAAAGCATAGGACATAAGTTGTGAAGGCAGTAAGCAGTGATAATTTTCACACAGACTCAACAGCATTTTCAAATTTGGAAGTCAGATTTTCCCCGCTGGCCAAATTTGGAGGGTTGTTGACATTGTCCCAAGCATCTGCTCATTCTTATCCACCCATGCAGTGTGAAAATCAAGATAATGTTGACCATCATCACTATCAATACATTGCTGAAGTGATCAGCGACGATAGAAAGGTTAATCGAAATACCAATCCCTTTATCTGTAGCGATGGCCAGCCTTTCAATCTTGAAAAAGCATCGCAATGTGATGACGAAGACCAGACCTTCTTCTTCTTGGGACCACAGCAAGAGTTGTTATCTCCAGCTCTTTCTGCCTCTACTGCTTGTGAATTGAGCTACGATAACAATGTTGACCTTGCCACCCGCATCTTCTATGCTACTTGCCACAAGTTTGCTACAGCAGCGCAGCAAGTTCCAAAGTATTCCTTCCGTCAGAGTTTGCTTCTGCACAGCATGTACAGCAAATCGCAACAGATTTTACTGGGAATAGAAGATATTAAGCCAACTGTTATCCTGTCTGGCGACGATTTTATGTTCACTCCGCCAGTGCAAACTGTCCAATCAAGCTTGAGTGACTGGGCGCTGGATGTGGAAGATGACTCGTTCTTGGATGGCTACATTCTTCCGCAAAACGACGATTATGGATGTTTTCTGGAGGAAGGCGGGATGTCTAGTAACGCACATTCCACTAATAATCCCTTTACGCATATGAGCGAATCCAATAGCAAGGAAGGTGTCATAACAGGCAACGTCTTCGAAGCTTTCATTCCAATCAGTCCTATGCAGACGCTGTCAATCGAAAATCAAAACGATGACAAAAACGATGAAGTTGCCGCGTCTACTACATACGATATAAAATCCAGCAGAGCAGTATCAGAAAAGGAAATATCGAATTGGTTCACAGCTAGCTCGGTGGATAAAATCGCACGTAGTCAAGAATCTAACGACGCAGAGTACGAGGACGAAGATGAGTATACAGATGCGGACGTGGATGTGGATGCGGACTCGATTGATAACATAGAAATAAAAAGCCAAGAGGAATCTGATGGCGATGACTCGGATGTCTATGAAGCACAAAGTCAGGAATCGGAAAGCCAGGAATTGGTCCCACAAGACTCAGAGCCTCAGGAAACTAGTTCGGAAGTCGACCCATTGCCGCAAAATAAAGAAACTGGCGTACAAGGAGAAGCTTCTATAGAAAAGGACTCAAAAACCATATCGACAGAACCTATGGAAGAACCAGCTGAACCGGAGCCATTGTTAAAAATTATGCGAGAGCTGGAAGGCTACTCTGTCGCAATCACTTTAGCAACACCTGATGGTAGCTCATCGATGATTGGATCTTCCACCAATGCCTCTGAAGGAATGGCTGGTCCCAAAGAAGTTCATCAAGGCATTCGCACCTACATCACGACTTTGCAAACTCTTGTTCATCAAAAATTGGTAGACTCGAATTCTTCACAAACTGTCACAGCCAATGGAAAACGTGTGACAACAAATGTTGGCTTCTTTAGAAGGTGGTTATCATGGCTTTCAAGCGTGATTAAGGTGTGGAAGCTCTTTTTCCTCATTGCAGAATCCTTACTGGTATCTTTTGGTGATGCTGTTTTACAGAGGATTATCATTCATACTCTCGGTCGTCAGCTGGAATCAGCACCCGTCATTGCAACTTCATGAATACTTTCATCCCTCTAGTAATCCGCCAATTTCGTCCATTCCGATCGTATCATACTTTTGAAATATCGACAATTATCCGCTTTTTGCTCAATAGTGTCAACTAGCTATATTAATCCAATCTTCATCTGCACATGCTTATTTACTCTTCTTCTTGCACTATATTTTGTCTTTTTCAAAAAGTTCTATTGCATATAACCTCTCGCCTTGCATCATTATCCTCTCAATCCAAAAAATAAATGCACATATTTATATATCAGTGTAATATGGGATTCAACATGTTAGGATGTACATATACTCTGCTAAAGAGTAAATCTTATCTACTATTCCTAACGCCTTAATGTTCTTTCCTTCCTTTACCGTCTATATGACAAGGACATGTCGTCTACTGTCTAAGACAACTCCTTCCACAGCGAATCGTTCAAGTGGTGAATGTTATCACAACCAATGCCTTTGTTGATTTTACGGCTATTGTAAAAAAGAATAAAGATCAGAATTTCCATTCATTGCACCTATACGTTTTATTCAGACTGAATTACTTACATCTCTTCTGTGCTCATTTTGAGCTGACCGATAGCCAATGCGTGCTCCTTTCCCTCTGCCATGATCGACACTACCGCATCATTTGGTAAATCAACCTCCATTCTAGCTCCTTTTGAAGTCAAACCAGGGCACATGATGTTTGCCCCAGACAATACGAACTTGATAGCTCCTCGATCAACTTGAATCTTTGGCAATAGCTCGGGATCTGTGAATAGCGTTGTAATTAACAACTACTTAACCATGTCTTTTCTGCTTCTTCTGAATATCGCATTCTTACATTTGTGCAAAAGTTTTAAAGTTGGATAATATGGGCCATCAAAATGTTGAAAAAACAAAACTTGGTTGTTCACCGACAAGAAAGAGAGATGCTCGTGTCTGTAGAGGATCTCAGGATTAGAAACCATTTAAGCTTTAACATTCAAATGAAAACAGCGCTCGTGTATTGCTACATACCCTTTAACAAGGACAATGGGGGTCTTCTTTGGCATAAGGTCATCTAGAATAGGCTCTAGAGAAGGGTATTGTTCTATGATCTTGCCTCTAATTCCTCGCTGGACCGATGACTTGAGCTGCGTTTGACCGGCAATGTTTTCTGTGAAGCTGAACCTGGAAAGTATCGTTAGTTAGGCATTCTGCCCGCAAGCAACTTGGCATTCCGAATCTCTTTCGATCTTACTTCTTGAACATGTCGGACTGTGTATACTAGTGACGAGAGATCTGTTTGAAGCCGCCGAACAAATGTAGTGCTTTTTGACTGCACAAAGATTTTGCGGCGCTGGAGTTTAAAATAATCACCTACCCAGAGCAGCTAGAGCAGCTTTAATATATCTGCCTGACTTGCTACATCTTGCACCAATGACCAACCTGGACGTTATGATTGGTCTTTCCTTCAGCGCCCCTCAATAGGTTAGCTCTGGAATATTTTTCAACGATGGAACGAAGCTCCTAGACTTTTTATTTCCTGATGGACCAGAACAGGGAACATCGAGTGTCCATTATGTTAAAGCACATGCTAAACTTTAGCTGAATAATTTATTTGATGCAAAGGCTGAACAGCTCTTTATGACTTATCTATATGTGTCGGCTCGAAGGTTAAATTACCATGGAGAAAGGTATAGACCGTAGCTCTTGAAATGAGGAGTCGTTTATTATCTGCTATATCTGAAGTCAGACCATAGAATCAGCATGGTACACTGTTGAGCCAGTTATTAGTGTGAGCGATTACATAGTCCAGTCATAGACTGCGTAAAAAGCAATTTGGAGCATTTTTTGAAGTTTATCGTTATATCTGTGCTATAGTGATATCAATGTGTTAATGTGTAGAGAGATTGCGCAATCATGGTATTTTTAACATCAATCAAACCCCAAGTGGTCTTTGTCTTCGATTAATAGTTCTAGATCTTCCGTGCAAGCGAGGAATAGGAACATGTAATGAAGTGAAGTCCAACAGATCCACATTATAATATAAGAAACGGGAATCTTTCCGAAGTGACCGCCAAACTAAGATATTTTTGACATGTTCAACATCGAAAAAGCTGAATCTGGTGTCCACCACTTTAATTGGAAGTCATTCCGGATCCCCATTACTTTCAACTGTTATGTAAAAAGTATACTGGGAGAGTTATCTACTGAAAAATTGTTGCCTAAACCGCCGATCTGTAAGCATAAGAGCGATTGCGATCGCGAGCCATAGATATATATTCCAATTTTAAAACGAATAATCAGCCAAATTTAATTACTTGTATTTAGTAAGGTTTCCTGGCGATCAGACCCGTCTATTGCGTGAAAGAAACTCATGGCAGTGCCATTGTCATGCCGTGCTACCTAAGTGATTTTCAGCTACCTCAGGTTTAACTTTTAATCCTTGCTCCAAAAAAGCTAATATCAGATTATAGAGCCCAAATCTCACTGCAAAAATGATTGCATTAATTAAAGTGATTGTAACATATCCCCTGTGGTGGTTTCCAATAAAATAAAACAATCAAACTATTACAAATACTTTTACATTAGCCTAATCAGCATTTAGAGGGAGAAAGGTGGGTAATTTATGGAGAAAGTCGTCAAATGCTATCGACATGATAGTGCAATTGACCAAAGGAAAGAACTCCTTATGGGTACCAGATTGTGTATCGTCATGACCACCACCTCATAGTGCCCACTTCATACCTCCAACCTGGTATTTGAGTTAATGCAAACAATATGGTACGCTCAAGTTAAAATGACACGCCGCCATAAATCTCAATGTCTACGTGCCTTGAAGATTTAAGCAAAGAAAGTAATGACTGCAAATTGTAAGTTCTTCGTTACAATTTCTCGGCTAGAGTTACCGAACAGTACATAATTGACATAAATCACTTCATTATCAGCTTGAGTTCTTTGAAGCGATGGTGACCTCCAATATCAATGACACAAGCTTACATGGTTCCCCAACTTGGTTGGACCAGAAAAAAAAAGGGTTATCGATTGGCGCGGAGACCGCGACATGTATGGTAATGACGGTAGAAGCATCAGGCTCAATTCTTCTATGACCAGAAAAGAAAGTAAATTCAACATCCGCATTTTCGAAACCCAAAGTGCTTCAGCTTAACGAACAACTTCCATATGGGTACATAGAGTCATGATACGACAGGTAGTTCATCGCATGTAATAAAAAATGCAAGTAAGAGAACAATTCCGGGAAGAAGTTTTCTACCATGAAACTTGAAATACACTCTACTGCAGACTTGGTACTACAACTTTAGCACGTTGCACCTCTCGAAAACGTGCCCTCATAACTTTAACTGTCAAAGGAAAATGGCCGACAGGGATCCCGCGTCTCTCAAAACGTTGACGTCAAATCGGACATCCAAGAGATCTCTATCGATATGAGTATCGGAGTGTGCATTGCAACCGAGCCTAAAAGCTCATTGTCTGAAACCACTGGTGTAGCGGCAATGCAAAAGAAAAAAAAAAAGTGATATCGTCATAATAACAATAAAAATCAACTGAGCGTGATTCAGATACCAAATATAAAAGGGAGCAAGGGTTTCGAGATCAGAAGCTACATTATCCTTATACTTTAACAACATGAATCACCCAACTTTCCAAGAACCCGAAGTCATTACACCTAACGACGCTACAAACTCTGAAGCTGGCTTTGACCAGTCCTTCCAGCAGCACATCCAAAGCCAATTGAATACTCCTACAACTGGTAGCTCTAGCCCTCGCAAGTTGTCTACCTCAGTTGCTAAGAGTGAGGCTCTTCTTAACGATGAAATCATCCATAACAACCTTTTGCAAACCATTCGTACCAAGAAGGGTTATATCATTGATATGGACGGCGTCATTTATCATGTACGTATTTTTGCACTTGTTTCTTGATGGGTTTCAAATTTGTGTATTCATTAGCATTAATTTTCCATTCTTTTCTATTTCCATATATAGGGTAGCAAACTTCTTCCTGGTGCCAAAGAGTTTGTCCAGTTCTTGATCGATAACAACAAGAAATTCTTGTTCTTGACCAATAACTCTGCTCCTACTCCTCGTGAACTTCAGCAAAAGCTTGGTCGTCTCGGCATTGACGTCGATGAAGACAAGTTCTACACAGCTGCATTGGCAACCGCTGAATTTCTCAAGTCACAAATGCCCGAAGGTGGAACTGTCTACGTCATTGGCGAGCCCGGCTTGACTTATGCACTCTACGGCTGTGGATTCTTCATGAACGATGTCAACCCTGACTACGTTGTTCTCGGCGAAGGTCCTTCCTACAACTATGAGAAGCTCTGCAAAGCTGTCAACTTGGTCAACAAGGGAGCTAAGTTGATTGCTACCAACCTTGATGTTGAAACATTGAATTCTGCTGGTGAGCATATCCCAAGTTGCGGTGCCTTCACTGCATGCGTTGAATTGGTCACCAAGACCAAGGCTTTCTTCTGTGGCAAGCCCTCCGCATTGATTATGCGATATGCTCAAAGCGCTCTTGGCCTCAGCAGACAAGAGACGTGCATCATTGGTGATCGTATGGACACAGAGTATGTATATTTTCCATCCACTTTGGGGTTATGATAATGGCAGACCTTTAACAAACAATTTCACTTTTAGTGTTGTCGCCGGTGTTAATTCCCAGATCGACCCTGTACTCGTCCTTTCCGGTGTTACCAAAATGGAGGATCTCCGAAAGTTCCCTTACAGACCTTTTGTCATTCTCAAGGGAGTGTTTGAGATCCCAAGTGATGACAAAGAGAACCGTGTTACTGACGCCGACCTTGAAGAAGCTGGAAGACGCTTGAGTGTAATATAGATAATGTCGATGCTGCCACCGATTTGCTGCCCCAGTTTTGCTTGCATTGAGAAATCAGTAATTGCTCATTTGTACCTTGTATATTTTCCCCCACCCTTTGCTTTCTGTATCCATTGTCTTTGTTAAAAAGAATTTTTGTGTATAAAGTGACGATGTGATGAGTGAAAGCTCAAAAATTTATACCGCTGCGCTTGTCTTTTTTGTGCGGAACGACGAAAAGGTTCCAAAGGGGAGTTGATTTATGCTAGCAAAGGACAATTGTACCATCCCGTCAAAGAGATGGTGTACACATGGAGGTTACTGACTTATTCGGAGTGATCAACCACTACTTCTGTTTCAGCATAATGTATTTTCTTTCCACGTGCCGATAATAATATCAAATAATGTACAAAACTACTGCTGGACATATCTACAACAGAGAGAAAAGTAAAAATAAAATAGAAACACAAGGACTCGCTTGTTCACTCAGTCATCTTTACATTATAATACAGGGTAATTCATTTTTGTGTGATGAAAATCACTTTGAACCGCGAGATCCAAAAGTTGGGAGTCCAAAGGTATACGCTATGCCACTCATGTCGTTACCACGACTACCTAATGTTTCCATCATACCTAAAACTCCGGGCACAAGATTGGAAGCCGACAAGTTGAAAGACATTAATCCGGTTTCCGTATCCTTCAGAAGATCTTCTTCATCCTCATCAGGATCGCTTTCATTGTAGGTTGGCAGCAAATCCACAATATTCCAGTTTTCATCATTATCGGCGTCCGATCTGCCATCCATTACCCCAGTGTGATCCTCGTCATCGCTGCTCTGAAAACGACCACCTTCGGCAATGCCTATTCGGTACCGACCATCGTTTTCGTCATGGTCCTTGACGCTTGATACTTTGTAAAAATGTTTGTCGTTTGAGGATGGATCGTCTGTCCGATCATCGGGCATGCTGGTGGGTAGAATCTGAGTTCCTTCTTGTCGATATCTGAGGGCTGTGAGACGGAGAACCTGATTGAAATCCAGGGAGAATGATTGATCTTTTACGGGTCGAAATAACGTGGTATGAGAACGCCTGATGATGTAGAAACGTAAGCTTAGTATAAAGTAGCGATCAAGTCAAACATGGCTTTTGAACGTACTCTCCGAGATGCTCTGCCCGACAACATTGCATAAGGTTTTGTAAAACATTTGTTACTTGGCTAAGGGGGACATCCACATGTTGCGTATAGCACAAGTAGGCGATATCATAACTTAACATGGCCATGCCGACGATGAATTTTCGTAGATTTCGGTCGGATAGGAAAAGAGGCATTTTGCTATGTGTCTGCTTTCCATCTTTCCATCTAGTTGTTCTCGCATGTGAATATCTACCGTTGTTGACAAGTAGGAAAGGTAACTTAACGCCGAGATACCGGGCAATAAGGGTAGTGGAGTGAATGACATGGCCAATGGCGGCATTTAGTTCAGTTTTGTCGATTTCTGTCATTTGTGAAATGGCCGTTAGTATCGCCGTTTGCCCTATACCATTGAATTGCTGTTACTTACTGGATACGTTAATAAGATGGTTTGGTATCGTAACATTGCAGATAACCAATGTTTCATCTCCCTGAAATTGGATTTCGAACAATGATACAAGTTCGTTGACTAAAACACGCCGTGTAGTGACCATGGACTTGTGCATACGAGCCCATTTCTTTTGAGCAACGGCAAGCTCCTTTTGATGCTCTAGTTCACGATGTGCATGCTGAGCTTTGAGGTTGTTTTTCAAACTTTGTAAGGCCGCTCGTCTTCGTTCGACCTGACTTCGTAATTGAAGAACCTTTTGTCTTACTGTGGGGGGGGCAGAAGAAGGGTTAAAAAGTGCCGTACGGTGCTTAGTATTGAACAGCTACCATAACATTTACCAGCTCCGCATTCACGCTCTAATACCCTGCTATGCTGGGTGCTTGTCAAGACTGCGCGCTCTCGCCGACTTCGTTCAGACAGGAGTAAATGTAAATTTGTAGTGTTTTTGATTTTTAAGTAATCCTCAGCTTGCTTTATGAGTTCGTTCTTTTCGTCTACAATAGGCTTGATCTCGGCGTTAAATTCTTGCAGTCTGTGCACAAAAGTTAATGTCAGCTCCATTGATGAAAAATTCAAGCATGTTTGTTGCAAAATGCCAAGCATTATGGCAATATATACTTTTCAGAAACGCAAGAACTGCAAAAGAATTTGCGGCTGGATGTACGGCAGTATTCGCACTCCATTAGTGGCAGTCCACTTAGCATTTAGTGTAAGATAAAGTACACTCTGAAAGCGGTGGTGAATAAAGAAATCTGGGACGGACTTTGGTAGCCAAAAGTTTCTTTAACATCTTTGTGCCAGGTGATCGTCAAGTGCTTATCATTTTTTTTTTTTTGCAGCAACTGTCAAAAAATATAAAAGACATGTTTATACACGCTGGAAATAACCAAAAGACGTAGGGTATATGCAAACTTCTTATGAAGGAGATGGATGGTTATTTGGGGTTTCACTAGTTAGCTCGGTGGCCATTCGCTCAAGCGCAAGAAATCGTTGTTGAAGAGTCATGAAGGCCACTTCCTGTTGACCTTTTTCCATATTCATTAGAAGCACTTTCTTTCGCTCTGCATCAAGTTGCTGTATCAGTTGGATCATTTCATTTTCCATCTCTTTTCGGCTTTTTGCGCTTCTTTCCATGGTGGACCGATGAACTTGTTGAAGTTGTTGATGGTCAATTTGGAGTCGTTGACGTGCCTCATCAGCTTGTGAGAAAGCTCTCGCTGATTCCTGGCGAATAGCTTCCTTCTCGCTATCAGCTTTTTGCTTCATATCCAGCATTCTTTTCGTTTCTCGTTCAGACATGTCCAGTTTGTTCAGTACTGCCTTGTAATTTGCGCGCAACTCATTTAATTCTTTCGTGGTGTCGCTTAGTAGCTTTGCGCTTTCTTTGTACATATCCAATAGGACCACTTGATTGTCTGTCATTATCCGTAGGCGAGTACGGGCATCATAAAGGTCTGCAGCGTCTTGATTCGCTTTGTGGCTCGCTTGCTCCTTCGACGTCGCCGAGATGTCAGCCAAAGAATCCATTCAGGAAAAAGTAAACAAGATTTCGGACTGCTGGCGCCAACAGTAATGAAGTGAATGGGAGTTGAATGGCGTACTCTATACGCAATGATGATTTTAATATGTACAAATGTGAACTACAACAAGTAGAAAACGACCTCTAATAAGCACTGCTAATTTTTCAATCCTCGAGGAGTCAGCTTGGGGATGACTGTGCAGTCACCCAATATGATCACTACGAGCTTCCCATGCAGATTGTAAAAGCTGTATCTCTCGCTCATAAGCTTCCATCATTGCGTCGCGTTTGTTATCGATTTCAAGTTGAATTTTTTCCATCGCTTCTCTCTCCTCTTCGTCAATTGAAGCCTGTTTCGTCTTATAGTCCGTCTTGAGCAATTTCAACCTAAGGCTATACTCCTCTGTCAATATGTGTGAGCTGAGTTAGAGTCTACTTTTTACCTTTTTTCATTAAGCTTTTCTGTCGTCTGCTATGCACTTACCGTCTGTAATGGCGTTTTGAGTCTTTCTAACAGGTATACGTTCATTAATAGCCTGCATGTCACTGTTACTAGGTTCACTCTGGTCCTCCCAGAGCCTCCATGCATTGGGTCGCACTACATAGATGTGCTGAGGGTCAAGGCATATTTGTTTTGGGTATATATGTCCCTTTTCCTAAAGTACGTCAAATTTAGCATTGGACATAATTCATTTGTATATGATTACGGTATGGCGAAGTAATCTTACCTTCTCCATGGGATTAATAGTAATAGGTTCAAGAACTTCTATGTCTGTTGAACGGTATAGCCATTTTGTGCATTCAGTGGTTGATTCGGTTGTGTTTTCGGGGGTATATTCCACACTAGACAGCCTTTCATTAATGAGATCATCATCAACCATGACTGGATGGTTATCGGATGTGACAATATCAATCGACTTTGTGGGGTGGGTATGTAAGGATGTCTGTTGACGGATCGCGTTTTCAACAAGTTGTGTACTTTCCAATGTACGGTGTTCAACGTTGATTTCACTTGCAGTCGCTGAATCAAGCTGCTTGCCCTTAGGTATCCGTTCCTCAGAAACCATCGGCTGCTGCGAGTTGTACGGGTCATTTGTGGCAGGCTCTTGCGTGTTACTTGCATCGGCAGACATGGCTGTATCCGCTGGTACTTTTGTCGCCACTTGCAACTTATGGTGGTCTACCAAAACGCTTTTACATGCTGTTTTATCCGCCTTGTCCTGCTCTATATGTACAGTTGAGTTTTCGGGCTCTTGTACGTTTGCTTCGTCACTGTTCATGGCAGTGTGCAATGTCTTTTGTTTGCCATTATCATTCGTGGGCTCGCTTGAATTGACAGGCTCGGGTAGCTTGTCAACATCCATATGCGTCGCAATATCGGAAACATCATCCTCTCCATCTTCAGATATAGATCGTACTATGTCTCTCAAGTTTTTTAACTTGTCCAAAACTTGTGTTGTCGCCTTCTCATCATCCGGGCCCGAAGGAGTCTCCGTAGTTTGCATATTATATTCATTATCGATTGCGCTAAAAGCAACAGATTCGTGGTTTGGCTTATGGCGAACTGGAGCGACAAAACGAGGTGCCTCTTCAAGAATTTCACCTATCACGTCTTCCATCTCCTCCACCGGTTCTATTGTATGATCGCCATAGGTGTTATGAATGACGCTATTAGGTGGCGTGCTAGCCAAATTTGCGATATCCAAAGTTATTCGGGGGGCAATCGGTGATGGATTGTTGGTGGATGTAACAAGACTGTGGTCGGTGGACGATGAAGTCACGTCATAATGATCGTCAGGGACAGCATCGTCTGTAACCATAACTGAAGTTGCCGCGTGTCGGCTGGCAAAGTTTAGTCCGTCGGGGTTCTTGGGTGTTAGTGGTTTGTCTGTATTGGTAACTGGTCCATAACTATGATGCACCGAGTGCTCCGAAAGCTGAGTGAAATTTACAAATGGCATAGTGCAAGGGTCGACATATGAATTGGGCGTCGGTATAGGCTGGCCCGTGAAAAGATTGAATAATTGCAAGTCGGAAATTGACGCTCGCCCATGGATCCATGATGCGATATCTACGATGCCATTTTTACCGTTCTTCGCAGCCGTGTTCTGCAAACCATCCGACGTCGGCACTATACTGGATCCTTCTACTTGATTTAAGAGGTTCCGATAGTCCTGTTCCGTGTATCTTACAGTTGTCAAAGGTGATGGCGGTTCCAGAAGTTCAAACGGCGGAATGCTTTCACCCAGATCATTTTCAACATGACGTTTAAAAATGTGCATTGGAGCCACGGTCACGTAAGTGGTGTATGCGGAATGTTGCGGTCAATGAGGTAATGTTTAATGGAAATAAATGCTGATTTGGTGTTCGGCAGCTTGTCAAACCTGTTGTTACTCATCAATTGTAAAGACTGGCTGGCAGTCACAGAAGTCGAAAAAATCTCACCCTCCCTTCATCGGTTTGTTCTTCTTATCACATTTTAATTTTTATGTATAAAAGATGTTGGCAGAAAAAAAGGAGATATATATAAGTAGAGTCTCCACTATAATGGGGAATAAAAGCATCGAGTATATAAAATGAAACAATGAGTCGGACAGCTAGCATTCCAATGCTGTACAAGTGAAGGTCATGGTGAGAGAAAAAGGTACAACAAACAACAAAAAGGAATGCGAAAACAGATGATACAAGCAAGATGTGGCGATGGTTGATGATGGATAAATGAATGTTTCTTTGAAGTTCTTGGTATGTCTAAATGAGGATTTTTGAGTCGCCTCAAGCAAATGTTTTCGAGTTTCTCTTCATGGAATCAAATACTTTCTTTGTCCATTTACTCTCCTTTTGAATATCGCCAAAAGGAGATGGATTATTGAAGTTGGGAGAGGATTGTTGTTGCATTCGAGCGACAAGGGGGATCGTCGGCAGAGGCTTTCCTTCTATTTTCTTCATGGCTCTTTCCTCGCCATGTTTCGCAGCCAATGCGTACCACATTAATGCTTCTTCGGCGTTCTTGGTGATACCGATGCCAACTTCAGTAAAGTAACCCATGGCATATTCAGCCTTAGGTAATCCAGCTTGGGCAGCCCGATGAGCCCACACGTAAGCTTGTTCATCCGATTGAGGCAAAAGGTTGGGAGATCCTACAAGATACCACGCTGTTAAAGCAAAGCAAGCCTCACGATGACCTTGTTCGGCGGCAATGGTATAATAGTGGATGGAAAGGGCTGGGTCACACTGACAGCCCAGTTTACCATACTCGTAGCATTCCCCTAACCGAAATGCCGAAGGTGCATAACCAAACTCTGCGGCTTGAGCGTACAGAGTAACGGCATAGCTGAAGTCAACAAACACTACATTGTTGACTCCACGTTCATGTAATAACGCAAGTTCATGTAGTGCGTGTGGGTATTCTGCCGTTGCTGATTCGCCGGCTCGCTTGAGCCACTTGACTCCATCCCGTGGGTTACGACTGATACGAAGTTCACCATTCAGTTGTGCCACGCCCAACCGATACATAGCCCCTGGGTGGCTTAACGTGGAAGCTCGTCTGTGGGAGTTTCGACTGATTAGCAAAAAAGGGGGATTTCTGTAGTAAACTGCGAAAGCATGGTTTGTGCGCGTTACCTATAAAATTGTACAGCTTTTCCAGAGTCTCTTTTGCAACCCAGACCGTCTTCATAACACTTTGCAGCTCTGTGATATATTAGAAAACGGGGGTCAGTTAGATCGAATGAAACAACGTGGTTAAGGAGAGCGGCTTCTCAAGCTCGGCAAAAACTTTGGGCCGCTCTTTGTTATAGATTATTTTTGGGGGGGGGGAGAGGCGCGGGGTTTCAAAGAAATCTGAAAATAGTTACCGATATGATGCGTCGGCATGATGGTGCTTAGTGGCCTGAACAAACAACGGGAACGCCTTGTCGAATTCGTTTTTGCCCTTCTTGTTCAGAAGTCCAGAGGCATACATATTACCAAGATAATACTGCGCTTCGGAATGGCCACGTAGCGAGAGCTGCCGAAGTAACCGCTCAGCTTCATGCAAATATTCCCATCGCTGCGGTTCATCCACCGCCATAGCTTTAGCAGCCTCGACAATAAAGTTTGCAAAGTCGAATTGGATGCTGGGATTGTTGGTCCTCTTTGCATTATCTCTATACATGTTGATAGTTTGTGCATGCGACAATAATGAAGCTCGGTCACCTGGCTTCAAATGGGACTGGTCGAGCAATTGTGAACGTGGTTGAGGACCATCTGTGGCCAAGGTTAATACCGAGGGCGACGAATACACGTTCGGTGGCGTTGCAGGGGAAGACACGGTAGAAGAGGTCACAGTGCTATTAGAAGACATGGTATAAGAAGCTTCAGAATAGATCGAGCCTCGATGCTCTACAGAAGATGAAGCCGTAGACATTTGACGTTGCGGCTGTTCCTCCATGGTGCGTGTATTTTTGTACAGAAGATATTAATGTAGAGAAGATATAGTAGCGCCTCTAGTAGTTGGATATAACTGCAATTGAAAAAAGAAAAGAGAGAAAGAGAGAGAGAGAGAGACCTGAAGAAGAAGAAAAAAAAATCTCTCGAGGTGGGGTTATAAAGTGGCAGCTGAGATGAAGCGACGTTTTATATAGCCAAGGGTTTTGCGGGATATTTTCAGCATACCACAGCACGACCAGCGAGCGTAGCGTGGTTAATAGCGTACTTCCAATTTGCACTTGGCTGAAGTAAAATTGAAGGTGGAGACGGGGGAGACATCATTGAAGAAAGAATGACGACTTGCGTAACATTTGGGTATTGTAAAAATAAAATTATGCTTTATTCAGAGCCTAAGCCTAACCACAAAGCTGTCCGTCTAGAGGCAGCGAAACGCCAGCGCGCACTTTCAACCCGCCAAATCGACGTAGGCTTAACCTTTTCCCTTTAGATACCATGACATGACATGACTTGCCTTACCTTTTTCTCCTTGCTTTGGATAGAGTCTTTCTTAAAAAGAAATAAAAACATGAGATGCATCGGTGGATAAGATTTCGCATATTATCTCACTGTTATAATGTTTGAGTTACAGGCAAGGGCTGAAAGAGATCGCTCGCACCCTTTTTTTCAACTCCTCCACTATAGATTTTGAAATGATCAATATACCAATTTGGGAGACCGATGGCTAACGGGCCCTACTCGTTACTCTTGTGAGATATTTACGCAAGTATTCTTTCTTAACTTTTTTTTTTTCTGGTTGCGACTGCCCAAACTCAAAACATCAAGTAAACAAAGTGCATGATGTAAAATTACAAAATAGTCGGTTCTATTGTTCCAGCCTAGTATACAAAGAGTACTTTGCCTATGCTTGTTCAAATATAGTAAATAAGATCGATCTACCAATCCTCTTCATCTTCTTTCCAGTCTGCCCACTCTTGGCTCTTGCGGTCATTGACCGGCTTCATAGGGATGGAGTTTGGTTTCGTATTGGTGGTCTTCTTGGTTCCTGCCAGCTTTAAGCCTCGAGTCGCCGGTTTAGATTCCGGTGCCTCATCGATGGCTGGTGACATATCAACGGCCCATTCCGAAGTGGTATTCGATAAATTTTGACTACCGGCAACTCCATCTGTGTACAATCCCATTAGTTACACAATGACATCGCAGTACAAAAAAGCACAAAATATGGAAAGTGGGCTTTTTTAGCTAAGCCTGGCGGGTGGTCAGACCAGCTTGAAGGCTAGTCGGATACAGCCGCAGCCAAGCCGACCAAACCAAAGCATGGCCCTAGTCATAAAAAAAATAAAAAAATAAAGAAGATTATTTACCTGTCGTGTTCAACTAAATGAGGAGAAACAAATGTATAAGTTGAAAAACCCAGACGAGGGGTAAGCAATAGGACTCCAAAAAATTGAACTTACTGGTAAGTGGCTGTAATTTCCATGAGGGCTCTGACGTCCAGTAAGCTTTTGCACGCCCTAGGTAATAAAGAAGAAAAAGGGAATTGTTTAAAAATAGTAGACAGAGAACGTGGAAGGATTTAGAAACTAAGGTCACCTGAACGATAGTATCGCGAGATCGCTTAACAACCAAAAGTCCAACAATGCCAACGCCAGCGATGAGAAGTGCACCTTGATATTTAACATATCCAGTAGGAGGAATAGTTTTAGTTGTTCCAAACCCTGTGCTGTCGGCATCGTTATCATCAGCTGTATTGGCTTCCGATGCCTTGTCATCTTCCATGTCGGAAGTGCCGGTGTACTTGGTGGGGACAACTTCCTCCTTATCCAAAGGATCTTCATCAATGTCATCACTGTCGCTTCCAGTTTGAGGTAGTTTGACATCGTCTTCCTTATCCTCTTCTGGTTCAACTTTTTCATCGGGGAAAATGTCTTCCTTGTCCTCATCGACTTCATTGTCGGTACCATCAAAGAGTTCGCCGGTTTTGAGTCCATCATCCTCAGTGTCGTCATCAACGTCAGCTCCATCATCGTTGTCAATGTCGGCATCAGCTGCAGTATCTTCTTTATCGTTTGTGTCAAAACCTTCCTCATCATCTGCCGGCTCTTCGTCACTAACTTCTTTGTTGTCACCGTTTTCCAGGTCGTCATCAGTGGAATCGCCAGTTTCATCTTCATTGGCATCGTCCAAACTATCAGGACTGTCCTCGCCGATGTCTTCTTCAGTACCATTTTCATCAGTGCTATCGTCCAAACCATCAACACCTGTTCCGTTTTCGTCGACATTAGAATCCACTTCATCTTCTAATCCAAAAATGTCGTCGTTGATGGTGTTTGTCTCTTCATCAACGGAAAGACCAGTACCTTCTTCGTCCGTGTTATCTTCATCGTCATCGGTCGATGGAGAAGTAGCTTCGTCGCTGTTGTCAATATCATAAATATCATCTGCAGGAGGTGCTGATTCCTCATTGTCATCAGTACCAACGACATACTTGGCCGGGTCAATATCGTTGTTTACATCTTCTGAGTTGTCGAGGTCGTCATGGGCGGTGTCATCTTCGTTATCAACAGTCTCTTCCTTGTCAGATGTTTCTTTATCAGCTTCTTCCAAATCAATATCCTCCTTGTTACTGCCGGAAGGAGAGTCTTCGATGTCTTGATCAGTGTTGTCGCCGTCAAATGGGAAGTCTTCAGAGCCAGCATCAAGAGCATCAGAAACTTTATCCTCAGCTGTGGAGGCTGGGCTCTCCGAGTCATCTCCTTCGTTGTCACCAGGAGTAGGATTATCAAAAGTGTCGATGGCGTTGTCATCAGAATTGGGATCGTCCAAGCTATCTTCAAGCGAACTATCATCCAAGGTCTCGAGTTCTGCTACATCGTCTTTAGGGTCTTCACCGATCTCGTCAGTAGCCAAGGTATCTTCATTATCTTCATCTAATGAAGAATCTTCACCCGTTGCAGAGAATTCATCGAATGCATCTTCTTCATCTGGTGAGAATCCGTCTTCATCTTTGTTTACAGTATTTTTTGGAGATTCGGGAGCATCCAGGCTGCTAGCCAGTTCTGAACCTGTAGGAGGGTATGGAGGATAAGCTTGCACTGTTGCAAGCAGAGTAATGAACGTAAGGGCTAAGAGCACCAATGACTTTGACAATCTTAGGTGCATTTGAAGACGAAATAAAGGAAAGACAGCTTAGCGAGACTTCAGTGCGGTTCGTTGCACAAATTAACAGCGCCAAATTCATTCAGGTCGGTCCCTGCACGTGGATTTTCTATAAAAAAATCTTTTTTTTTATTGTCCACTTGGTGGCTAAAATCTCGGGTCGGACTTGCTACTCTTCATCATCATCGTCGATAAAAGCATGCTCTTCATCATTTCCAAGACCATGGTATTGCTGGTTGCTAGAGGAGTTACCTCGTAGGCTGGTGCGAGATCTTGCCGACTGCAGGAAGCCGAAAATGTAACCTCCAAGAATTAAAGTCATATCTTTTACCCAGTCATAAACGAGGTACCAAAAATCGTAATGAGGAATTTGTTGCATGCCTGTTGCTTTCTTGGCAAACCTATTGTAGAGAATGCCTCCGATCAGGTATCCGAAAACCCCCACCCAAATACTGAAATTTCATGATGAGTAAAAGTGATATCATCACAAAACATGAATTGCTCTGCTTACATGGTCCATATCGTCGTCCACACTCCACCAGATTGTGTCGCTTGGCGTACAGGACAAGCGGCGGGCGTACGCCACTCGAACCAGTAATAACAATCCCTAGGTTGTGCTATCAAAATAGGCGTGCCCTAGTACAGACTGTGCGTTAGCCCTTCCATCCTAAGCTGCCCTTTTATCATCACATCCACTAACCATGTCGGTAACACCTCGATCGCAAATGAAAGATACTAGCGTAGATCTCCTAACGTCACCATCGCGGGGACATTGCTGACCGTTGGTATATTCTATCATCAATTTGTCGCCCCGTATGAACGGCGTGTTGCTGTACTCCCTAGTGTAATTAGGTTAAGTAACTTTGTTGTAAATAGAAAGGCAATGGATCCAAAAATAAAAGCCATATGTTACCCGATGTTATATCCTTTGCTTTCTGATTTTTCTTTGGTAAAGGCTCCTACTCGTTCGGGTCGCATCAACCCGGTTGATTTATCTTGTAATTCGTCGCATATGTTCAGTCTGTATTCTAAACTACTATCAGGGTCATAGAAGGTCCAATCCATCTCTCTATCATCAGAGCCAATAGCATGTTAATGAAAGAGTTATGTCATGTTTGTAAAGTGATGAAGCTTACCCTTGTGATTTCTTAAGAGGAGACAAGTCATAAAGATTGCCTTTGGAGTCTCTGGTTTGACATGGGTCCAAATCTTGCGCCAGTACAGAGCAAGCAACTGCAATGAAGCTCGAAATCCAGGCAATGGTTCGCATGGTGAATCTGAGGTCAGCGCACCGCTGGTCACATTTTTGAATTTGTATAAGCGCAGCTTTTTTTTTTTTTTCCTCCTGCGACAAAGTAATTTTTCTCGCCTCTGCCTGCCAATATGAAAGGCCGTTCTTCGTATATCCTTAAACCAAGTGATATTTCTACTCACTGCTCCGTCATCAAAACACACACAACAGCATAGTTGCTAACTAGAAACTTTAGAACGATATGAATGGCTATAAGCAATTAAAAAAAAAAAAAAAAAAGGTAGAAAAAAAAATATTTAATAAAACTATCAAGAAAAAATGGAGAAACAGGGAATAAGTAGTACCCACGAATTTACAGGATGAAGGAACTGAGAAAACATAGCGCTGCTGACCAAAAAATGAGTAAATTACACCTTCTTTTGACCCTTGGTCTTCCCGATGAGACTCTTGTGAATATGCGGAAGCACACCACCTCCAGCAATGGTAGCCTTGATCAATGAATCCAACTCTTCGTCACCACGGATAGCAAGCTGAAGATGCCGAGGTGTAATACGCTTGACTTTGAGGTCCTTGGTTGCATTACCAGCCAATTCCAGAACTTCTGCTGTTAAATATTCCAAAATAGCTGCAGAATATACCGCAGCCTTGGCTCCCACACGTGCATTGTTTCGGCTCCTCTCCTTCAAATAACGATGAATACGACCAACGGGGAACTAGATTTGAGGAATGAGGTTTAAGGGCTTCGTTTGACACACCTAGTGGTTCCTGTTCATTCGCCAAAATTGAAACATACCTGAAGTCCGGCTCTAGCAGACTGTGACAATGCTGGTGCCTTTTCTCTTTTTCCTAGTTCAGGAGCTTTATCCGCCTATCAAGGAAGTATACGTGTTAATCTACACTGTGATCGTATTCGGTGAGTGAGTGGTACCAGTCATATCGGCATAAAAAAATAAAGTTGATCTATCGTCCTAAAAACGCGTAAATGTACGCGTTTTAGCGTGTCGGGCTCGCACATAACAATTCAATGAGGTTGATTCGGAGCATTCGCACGACCATTGTTGTCAAAAAAGTTACAGTAGGCTATTTCCACCATGTTTGGTCGAATGGGACTGCAGGTTGTAAAGTCGCAAAGGCATTTGAATTCAAGTCGCAAGGGCAATAAAATATTTCCACACCAGTGTATTCCAGCCCCCTTTCTTTCTGTCATTATGCAAAATACAAAGATTCGTACCATTGTCAAGGTTGTGGAGGAAGGTGAAGATAGAGCGAAAACGATACCTGCAGAGTGGAACGGTCCTTGTGATGCGTGTGACAAGCGGCGGTTGAAAATCATATACATCACCCTTGGAATGCAATTTGACTTGAATCAGGGAAATTATGAAACGGCTTGGGGCCGATCACTGGGGTCTTGCCAAACAATTCCCGAAACGAAAAGGTTGGCGAGTGAACGCTACATTTTGGCAATAATAACTTTTAGTCAGCGTAAAAGAACAATTTTCAATATTAATGGCACTTATCGGTAGATCACCTTTTCTTCGCCATTGAAGCGCTTACATCGTTTCTTAAACATAAGCGCTCGAATTGCCATTTTTGGAAGTCTATGACTGGAGGCGGTGATCAATAACTTGATCAAGTTTCAAAACCCTGTCATTCTTTCAAGGGTGAATCGTCTGTAGAGGAAAATGCTGGCACCATTGCTTTATTTCGATTCGATTTTATCACTGCAATTTCGTTGTAGTAGAGAGCTTGCGTATCTAGACCTCGCCAACATTTGTTCTATTGTGGGGCCTAATTCTGGATAGAGAACGTCATTGTCACGGTGAGATCAATGTGACGTACTAGTGCCATCGAAATCAAGTACATAACCATTTCAATTCGCAATCACCTTCTCTTCACGAGAATTCCTTTTTTTCATCTCTACATCGCCCCAAATTAAACATGAAAGTCAACAGATATTTTCTCATTGCTCTGGTGCTCACCGTCATGACCTCTATGGCAGGTAAGTGTTGTTTTGATCCAGAAACATTGGGCCATGTCGTTTCATGATACTTAATCTTTATCTCTCAGCCGCTGAAGACGTCTCAGGATGGAGCACAAGCCAACTCAAGGAATGGTTGGACGAGCACAAGATTTCATACAACAAAAAGACCGATCACAGCGGTTACATCGATCTTGTTAAGCAGTACCAGGATACTGCAGCAAAGACCTACGATTACTACGGTCAAAAGATCGATTTCATCACCAACGATGTACAAAGCAAGTTGGCTGCCAACAAGGAGACATCAGAGGCCAATGTAGATTATATTACCTCGGAAATTCGACGATATCTTCGAACTGCAGAGTTGCAAGGTGAATTGACTTGGGAGAGTATTCAGGGAGCTTTGAATAAAGCCCGAAAGGACGTTCTTAAACAGAAGGCTGCCACGACTCAACAGTGGGATTCTATTGTCAACAATGTCAGCAATGCCTACCAACGTCAAAACTTTATGCAACGGTTCTTCACCCGTGACACTGCCTCCAGCGCTTGGTTCAACCAAGTCGGAGATCACCTTCGTCAACAAGGATCATTAACTGCCGATAATGTCAACCATATCGTCAGTTTGGTTCGTGAACGTGTGAGCTCTGTAGCTGACTGGTCGCAAGACAAGGCTTCCCAAGATAAAACATGGTTCCAACAGCTCAAGAAGGATTTGGAAAAGAATAGCAACATGACGCAAGAGCAAATCTCAGCCGCCCTCTCATCGGTTGAGGCTGACTATAACTCTTATAAGGCCTTCGCTATCGATTATGCTAATGGAGTGTATGATAATACTCAAGCTTTTGTTCAGCAAGTCAAGGAGAAACTTCAGCAAACTGGAGAACTCACTCAAGCCAAGATCAATGATATCACCACTGACTTGCAAAACCGATTTTCCGATTTCCATTGGTTCTGGCAAAAGGAACCTGAGCCCAAGACTTACTTTGAACAAATGCGTGAAGACCTCCTCGCTCGCAAGGATGCTGGTGTAGATCAGGTCAACAGCGTTATCGGCTTGATCTCCTCCACTTTTGATGAGTACGTGGCCACCGTCCGAAACTACGTCAATCCTACCCCCACCGATATTGCTGGTCACGTCAGATCAGCTGCCTCTTCCATTTCTTCCCAGTATTCTTCTGCCTCTGTATCTAGATCCAAGGCTGCTGAGTGGGCCAGCACCACATCTGCTGCCTCATCTGCTGTCTCTGTTGCTTCATCTGCTGCTGCATCGGCTACCGACGCCGCAGCATCGTCCGCTTCATCCCTCGTCAATGCCGTCACTTCCCCTATCGGCAGCACTTATGCTAAAGCCACTGACGCAGCTCAAGGCTGGCAATCTCAGGCAACCGATGACATCAACAGTTTTGTCAAAGAGACTGAACAACAAATGATCAACGCCAAGGAGTACTCGCAATCCCAGATCAACTGGCTTAAGGAGTACCTTAATAACAACTTCCATGACAAGAAGTCCGTCAGCGAAAAGGATATCAACGATGCTACCAACACCATCCGCAACTACTTTTCCTCAGACAAGCCTGAGAACAAGAAGGATGATGAGGCACTTGTCGACCACATTAAGGCTGGTTTGGAGTCGTGGAAGAACAAGTTGTATCGCAAGGACGAGTTGTAAATAAGAAGGTTTTAACCAACATGACATAACAAAACAAAACAAAAAAACACAGAGGATATGTATATAGTACTTTGCATCATTCAAATGTTCCAATTTTTTTTCTTCTAAACAATAAGAATATCCTTCTGGTCTTTGGTTTATACCTTAACTTGTGCGCGCCCATCAATGAAATTTACATGCAATATGCATTGATTGACCCATCCAAAGAGTCATCAATTGTAGTTGTCCCATTTTAAATGACAAAAAAAAACCCCCTCCCTCATATCAATAAATCACCTTATTATTTTATGCCTATGATGAGAGATATTGTATATTGGTGGCAATGTGTGCGGAAGGAAAGGAGGAGCTGTTACTGAACTGACAAACGGAAACACAATTGGGAAATAAAAAGATTGAGGAAATGCAAAATGTAGCTATGGTAAGTTAGGTTAGGATGCCTCTGTTGGTGTAGGAGTGGATGGCTCTAGGGCAGGTTGATGCTGTTGTTTTGTATCAGGTTGCTTGGTGAATGTAGGTAAGATTTCACCCTTAGACTTCAAATCCAACATTTCTAGCAGCTTTTGGTATAAGAACTTGTATGCCCAGACATTGCCACGCAGACGGCTGATATCGACAATGTAAATGCCGGGTAGATTTTTGAGTCTGCATATTTCCACCATGAATCGAACTTCTTCTCCAGAATCCGTTTGTGGATCACCGTACATAGGCTCAATACGCTCAGGTGGGGGACTAGGGTATATGGTAGTGAGCTCGGGTATACTTGAGATGACGGAGGTGGAGTTGGGAGGCTCTTCTTCGCTACTGGTTCGGTGCATGCTGTGGATACTCTCGCGACTGGGGTTTTGAGCACTGGCTCGACGTAACAAGGATCGAAGAGTACTTCCGCTACTCATCTTTCTTCGACTATCTGCTTCGAGGTTAGCCTTAAGCCCTTTGGACTTTCGCTTATTTCGAACACACTTGACTTTGTAATCCCCTTCCACTTTCACCACGAGTCCCATATTGGTCAAACATTGCTTGACTTCTACAAACACTTCAAATGGTGGTCGTGACGTGAGCGCTTGTTGATCGACTACTCCGTTATACACTTTGAGCTTAGCGTCGGCTGCCAACTGTAGTTCGTTTTTAGACATCGTCTTGAGTTGTTTGTTCATGCCCGGTGGCTGTGGTGTTAATGGCGGACGATCAAAATTGATTTCATCGCTTCTGCCTGGGTTACGCTCCACCGGAGAGACTAGCATTTGAAAAAAAAAAAAAATGATGTGTTAGACAATCAAGGACGGTAGACATGAGTGCATCGCTTTCACTCATTTGAAAAAGAAAAAAAAAGGACGACTCACCATGGGCTTTCTTTCGGAACCATTCCATAAAACCCTTACTCTTGGGCTTTTGGTCTAGGGCCACAGGTCGTTCTGATAGCGAAGGAACTAAACTCACGGCACCCCATTTGGTAACTTGCTCGGCGGGACCCTTTGGTGGTCCGTTGACAACCAATCTAACGGTTTGTGAGTTTCCTACGGGTCGAACGGAACTGTCCCGACGTGCTCGGGGAGCCGGTGCCATGTCATCGTCTAAATCACTTGTGGGTCGGGTCAAAAGACTGAGGGCTTTTCTTCGGGTACCCCGCGCAAACAGACTGGACGATGCTTGCGAGGATGGTTTGGTTCCTGTTGAACGAGCAGACATAGGTGTATCAGGTTTTGGCTGCATAACGAATGAGACGGTTCGGGTACTGTCATTATTTGGCGTGGTACTATTTGTAGTAGTAGTAGTAGCTACGCCAGCGCTTTGACTACGTTGCATACTGGATAAAAATCGAGATTGAAGGATGGAGGTAGGGACGGCAGATGCACGTCTCGAATCTGAATGCTGTTGTGTATTGGATTGTTGTTCGGGATCTTTCATGGCTATATCACTGGAGGATATAATATCAGGTAATTCTTTTTCTATCGTGCCTGACACTTGCGCAGGTGGATTGTCAAATTGTTGTGTGGTTTCCATGTCCATCGAGAGAGTTTTTTCTGGGCTGGTTATTTCGCTTCTGTCTACCTCCAAGGGTGTTTGATAAACACTGACTGGAGTCTCTGTCTTGTCGCTCAGTAAAGGTTGCTGGTGCACCGCATTCAGGTTGGCTTCTAGAGAGTTTTCTTGAATTTCCATTGCATCGGCGTAATTGGATTCAGGGCTAGACGGTACGTGATGATCTTCTAAACTTATACCAGAAACATTCATCATATCATCACCCTCGCTAATGGCCAACCCTTGGGTTTCATCGGATGGAACGACTTGTACTTCTTCCTCCGTCTTTTCGTCTGAGGCTTCGGTACGGTTGGTCACAGGGGTGGCTCTTTCCACCGCATCCATAGCATCAGCCTCAAGTTGATCCAAAGTGGTATCGAAGAGGTCACGATAGTCTTTTAACCATCGATGTTTCATAATGTCCTCAATAGAGCAACGCTTTCGAGGATCGGGCACCAGCATAATACGCAGAAGATCACGAGCATCCGAGCCAATATGAGAGGGAAACATCAATGGAGTATTGAGAATATAGCGATACAATAGGTTGATGTTTTCGCCATCGGGGTTTGCGGGGTCGTCGTCAAAAGGTAAATAACCACAAAGCATGGCATACAAGATAACGCCACATGACCAAATATCGACGGCCGAACCAACATAAAGTCCATCACTGACCACCAACTCCGGAGCAGCATAGCACGGACTTCCACAGGATGTTGCCATCAAGTCATCTTTGGTGGCAGCAAATTGATTTGCGAACCCAAAATCCGTGATAATGACATTCCGATGTCGGTCCAGCAGCAAGTTTTCCTTTTTTGAGTAGCAAGGTTGATTGTTAGTCTTCTTTTTTAGTTTGATAACGCGTGGCGCCGATACCGTGCAGCGCAGCGCTGATCCATTTTTTTTACAACGTACCAGCTTTAGATCACGATGCACAATGTGCTTTTCATGCATGTAACGCACTCCACTAATTAACTGGGCAAATAATCGTTTGGCATCCTTTTCTTTGAGGTATCTGCGAGCAAGAATATACTCGAAAAGTTCTCCGCCTGTATGAGTATGAATATCAGCGCGGCTTCATAATTAAAATTTTCATCGGACGCTAGTTTACCTGAGGCACACTCTAGAATAATGCCAATGTATTTTTCCGTTTCAACAACATCATACAGCTTGACAATGTATGGATGATGCAACACCTGAGAACCCATGTGAGCCATCACAATTTAATTAGCCTATCTCGAAAGTCGTTCGAGTCTCTTACTTTCAAAACTGAGATCTCTCTCTGTACTTTGTTTAAACGCGATGAGGACGACCCAATACTTTGCTTTCGAATGAGTTTGATAGCGACCTTTGAAAATAAAATAAACGATATTGGTCAAATTCTTCAATCGATTTCCAAATCATGAAAATTCATATCTAACCTCCTGGCCAGTTTCCGAGTGTATGGCTAGTTTGACTTTTCCAAATTCACCTTCTCCCAGGGTTTGCAGCATAACATAGGGGCCAAACATATTATGTCGTCGTCCGGGGTATCCAGTGCTATGGCGATGATTATGACGGTGTGGTGGTTCAAAATCAGGGACTTCCGACACGGAGAATGCTCGCTGCTGAGGGTATGGCGTCGGGAAAGCAATGGATGAATCATAGTCCTGGTCGATTGGCAGCGGAGCGTCGTCATCTAGTTGAAAAAATATGGGTAATGGAGATGAGGTGGGTCGTCTACTCGCCATGATGTCCTCGGGAGAGAGTGATGGAGAAGGTGGCAAATCACACGCCAAGGGATGAATCGCCATAGGCTCTTCTTAGTTGGTGTTGAAAAATAAAGAAAAAGGCACGGGGTTTAGTCAACTAGTTCGCAGCTTCGTTCTGAATAAAAAGACCGAGAACAGTAATAACAACAATCCAACAAGGTAACACTAAATATCTTTTTTTTGGCACTCCACACGCTTACAGATTCCCTTTTCTACCTCTTCCTTCCAGCAACGCTCGTTCGTTCAGCTGGGCTCGGACATCAGCATCAAGTGATCGACGCGGGGCCATTCATGCTACCGAGTCATGTCCTATGGCCAGGAACGGCTGAGCTCGGGGGTAGAAGTCACATCACCCCAGGGTATCCCCCCCCCTTTCTTACATTGCCTCCACCATTGACTTAAGAAGACATTTAAAGCCCATGTTACAAGATGAAAGTGAGACATTTACAGGTACAATCAGGCTGAGTTTCGCTCGGCAAAATAATCTGCATTAAAAAACTCGACGTTCTGGTTGGCCCAGCCTTGTCGATCTAGGCTGGCCCTACCGATTCTCGATTTCTTTCTCCCCCCCCATGGTTGAAATTTTCCTTACAGGGTGTTGCCATGTTAACATAATAGTAATCCCTAAATGCCAACGTTGGGCGGACCTTCAGGAAGAAAATCGGCCATTGGAATGGCTTGAACTTAAATTCAAGCTGCTCTACATCCACATTTCCAGCTAAAGACCTGAGTGGAGGACATGACATCATTTGGGTTCGAGTTCGTCCTCAATTGGTCGGAAAATCGAAGTCTTTCGATCCTGTAGTGGACCAAAGATAGGTTCTGGCTTCTTCTTCTTCCTTTTTTTTCTTTCGACTCCATTCCGATCATCTTCAGTTTGAGCATGGCCGAATCTAGCCGGCCAATCCATTCCAGCATGGTGCCGAATGATTCTGCTGAAAAGCCAAGTGCAAACGTCATACCAGCGAAGAAAAAACAATTTGGCCTTGAACAACCTGAACTAGTCTTCTATGCACCGTCAGATAACTTTCCTTATAAGCTGAAGGGAGAACCGCAGATTCTAGATATATTACACAACACCGACTGGAGCAAAACAGTACTTGGTCCAGCCAAAGACTGGTCCAACATCTTGGTCAATTCAATTCGACTTGCCTTGGTATCGCGATTTGCAATGTGCATATGGTGGGGTCCAGACTTCATGCAAGTAAGTGCTTACAAAAAAAAAGCTCCATTGTGTTTATGAGGCAATTGCCCCCGATGCTACATCGTCAAAAAATTATTGCCAATCTTTTTTTTTATAAACCCGCTACCTATTTTTTTTTAGATGTACAACGCAAAATATGGCGCTTTTCTGGGCAAACGGCATCCAAGAGCATTTGGTCGGGATATGCGGTAAGAAAACGACGCTATCTTGTGCAAATGCAGCCCATCCTCACTCACTCAATTTTGATGTTTTCACAGAGAATCATGGCATGATGTTTGGGAAGACATAGAACCTTTGATATATGCCGTAATAGACGATGGAGAATCTGTCTTTCTTAAGGAAGGTCGTTATTGGATGACTCGGTTTGGATGGATGGAAGAGACCTACTTTACCTATCAGGTAAGAACCTCCTGCTATTGAGCAGGAGGAAGAGAAAGAAAAGAAAAAGAAAGAAAAAATTTTATTGAATTCCAATATTATGATAGTACTCTCCAATCCATGATGATGTCCACGACAAGCCTATTGGCATATTTGTAAGTTCAGCTGCGAGTGACGTTTGTCATTAAACACCTTTAGTTAACCCCAAAATTTCTCACAGCACGTAGTGACTGACGAAACCTCAAAAGTCTTTTCAGAGCGAGACATGGTGACTTTGCGAGATTTGTCGGTTGGAACCAACGCCGCCACAACATACTCATATTGGAAAAGAGCGGTTGCAAAAGTGTTCAAAGTGCCAAGCAACTGTACAGATGTGCCTTCCATTGACTTATACGAAATCGATAGAGAAACCAATCAATTTCGGCGCATTATTTCAGAAGGATGCCATGCAGAGCAGCCACGACTCCAATTTCCGGAAACTGTCCAGATCTGGGAAGAGTTTCAATCTCACCATAGCGATACATTTAGCGCAGATAATATGAAAATCCCTTCGCACAAACTACGCGGTTCTTCAGCATCACTTGTCTCCTCAACAACATCCGATTCCATAGAGAACAAAGAGTCAGTACGGAAATCACTGGATCCAGCCACGGTCATTAAGAATCGACTAACAAAAGCCATGAATGACTGTTTTGTACACAACAAAGAGACACACCTGACTTTACCAGTGGAGACCCTGCCTATACCCAATATCACCGTCCCTGATAGTGAAAAGGTATATTTATCGAAAACTGGGCCTAGTGCGAACGCTGTGATTTTCCCCATACATGGATCGCCTCAGGACTACCACGATATTAGCTTAATTGCGGTATTAGCCACAAATCGATTCCGCAAATATGACGAGAAATATCGATCATACTTTCAACTACTCGTCAGCCAACTTAGCGGTAGTCTTGGTACAACGTCAGCCATAGAGGATTCTGAACGACGAGCCGATGAATTAACAGAATTGAATCGTAGCAAAACCACCTTTTTCTCTGTAAGGCGATCATTTTCTGCCAATGGTTAACTCGCTTCGTTCCAACTCCAATTAATGCCACCCATTTATTTTAGAATATTAGCCACGAATTTAGAACGCCGTTGAGTCTTATTCTCGGACCTGTTGACCAAGTGCTACATGATCCAACGCTTAATCCGAAAAGCAAAGAAATGGCAAAAATGGTACAACGCAACGCCAATCGTCTGCTTAAGCTCGTCAATACATTGCTACAATACACACAACTCGAAACCGGAAGGATGCGAGCTCAGTACAAGCCCGTTAACAACCTACCTGAAACCACCAGAGAAATTGCCAGCGCATTTGATACCGTCGCAGTTCGTTTCGGCCTTCAATTTGTCCTTGACTGTCCGTCTTGGGAATGGTCCGAGCCGAGCAATCGAAACTATGGTCCAGATGACACCACGGCATTCGTTGATGTTGATATCTGGGAGATAATCATTCTCAATTTGCTTTCGAACGCATTCAAGCACTGCATTAAAGGTTCAGTACGGCTCACCCTACGAAGGCATTTACGACCATCCTCATCGTCGCCTACTGCCGCCATTTACCGTAATCCCTTCATCACTCCCAGCCTCGCTTCCTCAGATACAGTCACTCCCGAATCAGTTTCGTCAATAAGTTCCAACGTATCATCAGCCGGTTACTATGAACTCACTGTTGCCGATACAGGAAGCGGTATTGCAGAAGAGGACATTAGCCGTATCTTTGATCGTTTCTATTCAGTTCGCAGGTGACTATAACCGCATTGGTTTTCATGATGAGCCACATCTCAAATATTCTAATGGGTTTTGTCTATCACTTCTAGTACTGAATCCAGATCTCACGAAGGCATCGGTATTGGTCTCAGCTTCATCAAAGATCTGGTCGAAAGTCAAAAGGGTATCATCACCGTTGACTCAACATTAGGCGTCGGCTCAACTTTCACCGTCAAATTGCCATTAGGCTACCGACAGTAAGGCATATGTTACTAATATTGATCATTTCTCGCTCCAGACTCTAACTTCCTTCGTTTTACTTTTTTCCTTCTCTTTCGCAGTCTCAACCCTCATGCAGTCGTCCGCTCTGTTGACGACAATGATTCTGTAAGATCACCGTCTAACAACCTACCAGTCATAAAGGTCGACACCCTACACAAGAATACAGTCAATAGGATGATGCCCAATAATGGCAAATTGTTTGTAGCAGAAACCGCAGGATGGAACGACTTTGACGAGCATCCCCAAGAGCCCTCTCAGCATCCTGAAGAAACCCCACTTGAACCTTCAACACCATCTCAATTAGTGACCCCAGCAATGGAGTCTGAAGACTACGTGAATCACCACGCCGATATCTTTAAGCCGACCGTTCTGGTTTGCGATGATAACACGGATATGCGCTCTTACATACGACATACCTTAATATCCAATTTCAATGTCATTGAAGCGTCAAACGGACAAGAGGCGCTCGATATTGCTGTCAGATTGGCTGCCTCAGAAGCATCCGAGATGTCCATGCAAGGGGATGATGCGGTGCCTCGAAGGCGGATTGATCTGGTGTTAGCCGACGTCATGATGCCGGTCATGGATGGTATTGAACTTTCCAAAAACCTTCGTGCCAACCCGTTCACTCGAACTCTTCCTATCATTATGTTGACTGCTCGTGCTGCTGCTGGTGACAGTATGAATGGACTATTTGCCGGAGCCGATGACTACTTGTTTAAGCCATTTGATGCCCAGGAACTGATTGGCCGTGTCACAACACACAGCAATCTTTACCGTATGCGACTGGAGTATGCGGATGCTCGCAACAAAATCGCAGTATTGGAAGCTGCCAACGATGCAAAATCGAAGCTTATTGCTCTAGGTAAGCCTTTTCGGAATTTCCCCCATGCAAAAATGCCTGAGAATATGAAACTCACTGTTTATGCCATTAGTGTCTCATGAGCTTCGCACCCCGCTTCAATCGATCATTGGAACCGTCGAATTGCTTCGAGAAGGAGCACAGTTTGAAGAGGAGCGCACGGATTTGGATAACATACACTATTCTAGTCACGTTCTTTCTGCCTTGATATCGGATATCCTTGATGTCGCTAAAATTGGTAAGCATATGCCTCTTTCACGCTATCGTGGTGCTTGATCGATGGAGACGTGGCTAACTGACTCTTTCATTCAGATGCTGGAAACTTCGTTTTTGAGCCTGCTGATTTCAACCCCCGTATTCTTGTTCAGCATTGCTGCGACATCTTGACGGAAAAAGCAAACAGCAAGGGCTTGGATTTGGTATGTCACATTGACCAAGGTATCATAGAGCGCGCTAATCAAGACCCCGCCCGTATACGACAATGTATTAGCAACATGCTCAGTAAGTGAACTCATGGCTGCCCTTGAAGCTGAATGCAACATACTTACCTCTGTGTCTAGGCAACGCTGTCAAATTCACCGAAAAGGGGTACGTTGCCGTGAAAACTTACACCCGCCTATCCTTCAGCGATGGCAGAGCCTCTCGTCGATTCGTTGCTTCAGAGTTGGAGTCTGAGGATAGCTGGCCAGATAAAAGCTCATCAAAGGGAGATCCCAATGCCACAGCTGAACTTGTTGTTGAAGTCGAAGACACTGTAAGTGATGTTTTGAAGCTCGAAGATTTTCAAATGCTTCTCTGGTATTTAAATACAATCAAATGATTTTTTTTATTAGGGTATTGGTCTAGCACAGGAGTCGATGCATGAGATTTTCGAACCTTTCTGTCAAGCAAACACGTCCTCTACTAGACCTTATGAAGGCATTGGTCTTGGCCTGGCCATCACTAAACAACTGGTTGAAAAAGCTGGCGGTGAAGTTGGCCTTGTGTCGGAATTGGGCAAGGGTAGTACGTTCTGGATCATATGGCCCATTTCACCACCTTTGGCGAGCTATCGAACGCCTGGGGAGGACTCTACGTCAGACGATAACATTACTCTGACCGACGACGTGAATGTGCCTAAAGACATATCCATCTTGATCGTGACCAAGAACCAAGTAGCCGCTTTGGCCGTGGCGGAAAACTTAATATCAGCCAACATTAATGGAATAACCACTACGACCGACATAAACCATGCTATGCAGTTGGTGTCAGAGGCCAAAAAGCCTTACGATGTTCTCATTGCCGATTCTTTCTTGGAGTCCCAATGCATTCCACTGGTTCGAAAGTGCAAAGAAAACAAGACATTTGTTCTGACCATCGTTAGTCGAGGTCTTCTTCGAACTCTAAGCAAAGGGCTCAAGGATCTTACCGACGAAGTCATTGCACGCCCAGTAAGTTAAAACCCTGAACGTAAGGTCCGCCACCCTTTGTTTTAACATGCTCACTTCTTTGTTTCATTTTTCTCAAAAAGGTTCATCGTGCCAATTTGCTGGACAAGTTGAGCAAACTTTCAATAGAAAAGCGAACTCGAAAAATTTCCATTGCAGATCAACACAAATCGTTTCTTGGTAAATTGGAAGCCTCGTTGCAAAAGCATATTATTGCAAGGACCGACGAACAAGAAGTTCCATTATCGCCTGAGTCTATGACCTCGCCTGGTATAGGTAGCAGAGCGTCATCCAGCACACTGGTCGAAGAATCGTCGTCGAATGCTAGAGATACCCTCACTCCACGAAGGCAATCTTCTGTGCGCGCTCCAGGTGTCATCAAGGGAACCATTTTAGGTCAGTGTGAAAACAGCGTGCTAGACGAGCCGAACCTTTGACTGACTTTATTATTTTTTTTTAAAAAAAAAAAAAAAATAGTGGCAGAGGACAACCTCATTAATCAGAAACTGCTCAAGAAACAACTACTGAAGCTAAACTACGAATCTGATGTCGTTGGTAATGGATTTGAAGCGGTTAATATGCTCAAGACGGGCAAGAAGTACATTGCCTTCCTCTGCGACTGCAATATGCCACAATGCGATGTAAGTTAAAGCAGAGTGCGGTGCACATCAGAACCATACTAAACATAATGGGTATGTTTCTCGATCGACAGGGGTTTCAAGCGACTGCTATCATTCGTGGTTCCGAGGAAAGCTTCAGGAACATACCGATTCTTGCAATATCAGCCAATGGTAAGATGTTGGATGGAGTGGGTGGCTAGCCTACAGGATCGATCCTAACCCCTTCCGTTTTTGCAGCTATGGCCGGAGATCGAGAAAAATGTTTGAACGGACAAATGGACGACTATATCAGCAAACCCCTCACCATTCCTCAACTTGGATCTGCACTTGAGCGATTACTTAGTAACTCAAAATATTGATCCAAGGCTTAGTTAACTAGACTACATGTTGGTTCATGGCTCGTATTTAAAGTAACATCTACACTTCCAGCGTAAAAATTTTGGGTCCCAAGTGATTTTCTATTACGCATAATAACCATCACTGGTACACACATTCATGTCACTTCTCAGAATGTAGCAGCACATAGAAATTGCAATTAAAAGAAAAACGAGAGATTTATTACTTGCAAAAGATGATCGAACGCCGAGGACGGTCCGAGGTATGATCTCTTACCGGAATCGCTACAAACCGAGAGTTGCGGGGCACTGTGCTCGCGACCGTTTTGTCCAATGTATACAATTTTTAATTTTTTTCTGTTGAGGGAGGGGAATCCGCAACGGAGTGTAGGGACTGTTTTGGATCAGACAGATTGCTTTTATCACTTCTGTAAACGAGGTCATCAGGAAGAATGAAATGAAATCACTCATCGATCGGTATGTAAATTATTGAACCGTTTGTTCAAATCGATATTTGTCCAGACTTGCACGATACTCCTCCTAGAAAAGCATAAGAAAAATATAAAAAAAAGTTAGCACCTCCTCCTTCTTGAACCGCATACCGACCAGTACAACACTTACCGGTGATATTTCGCTGTCATTATAAATCAATTGTATTTTGGTGGGCTTTTGCTTACTACCAGGAGCAAGTGACTGTGGCACAGCTGGAACCGCGGGTACCTGCTGTGCGTGAGGATCATAGGCAGCTGGATTTTGACCATGAAAAGCAGCAGCAATTGAATCATAGCCTGCTGGAGAGCCATAAGGTGCAGCATACGGTGGCACCGCAGCTGCACTCGTGGGAGGTGCTATGGGGGGTGAGGAAGCATCGTAACCTGCGGCTACTGGTGGACGAACGGGAGAAACAGGAGAAACTGCCATACCAGCTGAATTGGGAGTAGGTGGGTACCCTGGAGCAGGTGAACCATATGCTCCAGCCGGTGGAGTCCACTGATGGGGTGGTAACCCGCCAAATCCTGGAGGAGGAGCTCTAAAGACGAACGCATCATTTAGTAATGGGCTACGGTGGACTACGCTATACCAATTGCATACTAACCCATAGGGTGGAGGTCGGAATCCCATCGGCGGTGGTGGACGTGGTGGGTACTGAGGTTGCTGTTGGTAATATTGGCTATATTGTGGTGGGTATGCGGATGCCATAGGAGGAGGAGCACCAGCACCAGGAGGATGTTGGAAGTAGCCTGCTGCCGGAGGCGGAGGAGTGGCTGCAGGTTGTGCACCTCCAGCTTTATGAGCAGCGATTTGTTTTTGAATCTGTTCGGGTGTCAGTGCACTGTATTCGGATGTGCTACCTGCCTTGAAACGTTTCGCTGGATTTTCTCCACTACTCAATGCCTGTTCGTGCGCCAAAAGATCTTCATGTGGTATACCTTCCATACCAAAGATCTCATATTCTAGCGTCTCTCTTCCTTGAAGTGCATTGGGTACTCTGAATATTACGGTAAAAGGTGGAGTGGTTAATACCATGATTACCAGCATTGGCTTTAAATAGGTTCGGATCTTACTTTGTAATTTCTACTTTGTGAACTTGCATAGCATGGACAGCCATGCCACCGGCTGTAGTAAGCTTTTTACCACAAACATCGCACTTGAAATGTTTAGCCTGACAAGCGGAATCGATTTAAAATGCAATTAATATAGGTGGTCGAATGGTATTGATCTGAGGTTGGAGGGTACTCACCCTTTGATGAGTTACGAGCACTTTGTCGTCGTCGAAGTCTTTCTCACAGTACCAGCACCAAGGGCGTGATTGCTTCTTACTCTTTTTCTTTCCCATTGGAGTATTTGTAGCAAAGGATCAGTCTCTACGTAAAATCGACTTTGTAAAAATTGTCGTGCTGCAATTTTTGATGACGTAGACTCGCGAAGTAAATTTGACTTAATATCATGAAACGCGAATCAACTGGCAACTTCCCTTCGCCATGGGTTGTTGCTAGGTAGTACGGATAAAATACTTTCAATTTACTCACGATGCAGTAAAGTTTCCTTGTGTTTCTGATCGATATGTTTCTGAAAACTGTGATCTTTGGGTACCGCGCAAAAAAAAAGGGGGCCCATATCGGTCGGATATAATCCCTAGTTGAACGGAATTTTGCGAACTTCGATCTCGAGGCGCGAACTAGTTGACATCGGGCATATCCCTGTGTCTTCCCGGATTTGCTAGCCTTATCATCAAGTCAATCTTCTGCATTTTATGAGGACATCACTATATCTTCCGGGATTGCTAGCCTTATCATCAAGCCAATCTTCTGTGTTTCATACATGCCAAATCCCTAATCAACGCCTTTTATTGAGCATTAATCCTTTAATAAAAGATTGGCTTTAAAAAATTACATTTGCCTCGCCCATTTCGTATAGGGTTGTTCAGTGACCTTCTTGTTCAAACATTTAACATCAAATTTATTTAAATTACAGAATTCACCTTCAATTCATTTACATATCATGTCTTTGAAATGGTAACCATGAGTTTATAATTTGTTACATGGGCTGGCTGAAACATTGGCATGCCTTCGAATCGGACGGTAGTGCAGAGTGGCAAATATGTAATCGTGATGTTTGAGCAATTTTTAACGCACATCGACAATTAACGCAAGTCCGGCTTTGACCATATCGAATCGAGCATGGGTTTGGGACAAACGGTCGCAATGGTTACCACTAGCGTTGGGTCAATCCAAAAGCGTAAATCTGAATCAATATGGACGATTGTGGTAATTGTTAACGCACATTGACACCTATTGTACATTTTTTTTTTACGATACGAGCATGGGTTTGGGACAATTTGATTCAATTTGATTACCCCTCTGTTGGGTATCCTCAAAGGCGTAACCTGAATCAATATGGACGATTGTGGTGGTGGGTGTTAACACACATCGACACCATTAGCGCACGTACAGCGTTTACGATATCGAAGCAGGCATAGGTATGAGACGGTAACGTTGTAGTGATTACCACTAGCGTTGGTCAATCGAGAGCGTACATCTGAATCAATATGAACGATTGTGATGATTTTTAACGCGCATTGACATCGATTGCAAATATTTTTTTTACGACACGAGCATGGGTTTGGAACAATATAACTCGATTTGGTTACCGCTACTGTTAGGTATCCTCAAAGGCGTATTCTGAATCAACGTTCACATTAACGTGGCCTAACACTTCATTTATGCTATTGCTTACCAGAGTATAATGTACTGATTCTGTATTGTTCTCAGCTACATATATGGGAGGCGCTGAACAAAAAGATGTATTATTTCCCCTCAAAGAGGCTACCATTGACCTTCCCAGCAATCTTGCCAATATTTTACTGGCATTCTCTTTCTCTTTCATTAAAAGAATTTTTAATTTTTAATTTTTAATTGCCGTTTCGATCGCTTTCCCACCATGTCTCCAGTATGGTTCATCGATATGGAGGCATGGTAAGTGAACCACGCGAAGGGAATACTGGGGTTTGAGAGTTACACATTTGAGACTACAAATCCCCCCTGTTGGGTGTCACTTTACTTCGGCTAACAATGTCTAAAAAGGCCACCCCTCGGCACCAACATTTACACCTTATCCCAACCCAACATGCCATTGCCAATTCCCAAGTCCATCCCCAAGGAGCCCGGAGTCATCCCTACTGGTGGTAAGTGGTCTGCGAATGTCCTTGAGTGGAAGGTAAACATAGATTTCTGACTCGTACTTCAGGGGCGTATCGAAAACTTCAAGACTTTTTGTCTGTGGTCCATCAAGTTCAAGAAATAGCCATTGATGATGACAATTTCAAGAAGGGTCTGGTCTCCGCTTTCCATTGCAATCAGAAGAAATCTATTGTCTTGGATATTGACCGGTCTGGTATCTCCCAGTACTTGGGAGCATTCCGGCTACCAATGGGCCAACCGACTCCCCAACAGCACTACTGAAGTCTTTGAGTTGCAACGCTAAGTTGCCCCCTCCCCAAAAAAGAACTGAAAAGTACCATACCATGTTGCATATGTTGAAAAAATGTACAAACCAACAAACAAAAAACAAAAAAATCATAGTATTATTGCACTCTTGATAAAAATGTATATAAAAAATCAAAATGTAATTTAGTATTATAGTAACATTCTAAATGGTACAAAATAAAAAAAAAACGTTTATTATATGTTGATGTGTGTATATAACAGATGTTTGTTGAGAACAGTGCACGTGAAGGGGATTAATTATGTGAGGGTCAAATTACAATAGTTGAATGGTTGCAACGAATTCCAAAATGCCGAAAGGAAACGTGTAGATATGGGAATGAGAAAAAAAATATGGGAATTGATATCGGTTCGATCAGGACAATGGCCCAATCATCGCTGCCGTCGATCTGCGTCCGTTCTACGTAGATTATTGCTTTGGACTGCTTACAGTGTCGTGGTCGCTGACTTCAATGACGGCATCATTGGCTGTAGGCTGTTCATCAGCAGTCGTCTCTTCCTTTTTGGTTTCGGAAACTACCGTTGTTACCTTGGCCTTATCCCTGCGAAGACTGCTATGCTTGATAAAGAGCGATGCAAGGAAACCGACCCCCGAAAAGGCAGTCATAACCTGCCATAGCAATTTCAAAGCTGCTACATAGCATACCATGGTAGGTTCAAAGTATTGAGAAGGCAGACCATCACGAACATAGAGCGAGCTGTCGATAACCTGGAGGGCGTATTCTGAAGGCATGTGTTGAGGCAAAGACGCAGTCAATGAGGAGTTGATAATAGCCGAAGCAATAGCGATACCCAATGCACCACCCAGGATACGAGTGAAATTGCAAAGACCGGTGACGACGGCAATGTCTCTAGGTTCAGCTGAGGCTTGAATACCGATGAGAGCTGATCCATACAAAGAACCGATTCCTAGACCGCAGAAGCTGGTAATACCATACACCATTGACCAGGAGCTGTTTTCATCGAACAAGCTCAGTAGTCCAGTACCGACACACAGAATGGCAGTACCGAAATGCAAGAAAGGCTTCCACTGTCCAAATCGTGAAATTGCCCATCCAGCACCAGTAGAGAGAACACAAATAACCAGCTGCATAGGAATCAATCGCAGACCGGATTGAGTTGCAGAATCACCACGAACAACTTGCATGTACACTGGCAGATAATAAACCATAGCAAAGAAAGTAGAACCAAAGAAGAAGTTGGTGCACATGATAGCGACAACTGAACGAGACTTAAACAATCTTGGTGGCATGATGGGTTCCTTAGCAAAGCGAGATTCCACAACACACAAAGCGACGATCAGAACGACAGTTAACACCAGCGGAACAATAACTGCAGCGGATTTCCATGGGAACGTTTGTCCACCAAAGTTCATGGCGAGTAAAAACAATGTAGCAAACGATAGAACGATCATAGTGCCGACATAATCTACTCTCTTCAACTTTTCCTTGATAGTACCCTTGGGAATTGGGGAGTCAAGGAAGAAGAAAATGATAGCCATAGCTACCGCACCAAGTGGTAAGCTGTGATAGATGATGGTTTAGTGACACTTGTACATAACGAATTGATTCCATTGCAATACATACTTGATATAGAAGTTCCATCTCCAAGTGACATGATCAGTGAAGCTGCCTCCAATCAAAGGGCCGAATACGCTAGAAATTGCGAACACAGCATTGACAACACTGCAAATAGTTCAGTTAGAAAACAAAATCGCTAAATGAGAGCCAGCAACAAGTGACTTACCCTTGGTATTTGCCTCTTTGCTCCAATGGTACAAGTTCAGAGATAATAACAAAGACCTGCACGGTAAATAGAAACATGTATTAGAGTCAGCATGATGTAACTGAGCAGATCAAAATTTTCATGGGATAAAATTTTACCATAGACAGGATTGCGGAGCCTCCAATACCAGAAATTGCTCTAGATACAATCAACATGATGATACTCTGCGATTCGATTGTGAATTAGTAAACCGAGATACATGCAAATAGTAGTGATGGGAAGATACTCACGGTTGCAGCACCACTGAGAACGGAACCGAACAAGAAAATAGCAGTTCCTACAAGCAGGATCACCTTACGACCACAAATGTCAGAAAATTTTGAGAATAATGGCTCTGTAAATCCCAAAAAAAAAGGGAAAGAAATTTTTTAGCGGATTATTTCCCCGAATGAGTAATCAAGCGGGAAATCTTTCATCATTGAAACGATTTGCCCTCAAATTGTGGAAGTTGATACATACGGAAGGCGTCAAACGTCAAGATATAAGCTGTTGCCACCCATGATACGATGCTCATTTGATTGAATTCGGATCCAATGGTAGGCATAGCGGTTGAAACAATTGTACTGTACAATAGAAGACGCCGTTTCAGTATAGCTTTCCCACCCATCTTTCCACGCGCATACACTTACCCATCTAAAGCAGCAAGAAACAAGGTGAGCTGCAGACCAATGAAGGTATAAATTCGTCGTCTTGATGCACGTCGTTGCGCAATTGGATCGACTGCCGCTGATTCTATGTCCTGATTTGCCTTGATATCTGCCTTGGATTCGACCTGATGTAGCGAAGCTGCTTGCATTTCTTCCTCAACAGCTGTACTTGAGGACCTCCTTGATGCGTTATCTGATGGTGCCGACATAACGCCAATAAGAAAAAATGAAAAAGTGAAGAGAAAATGGTGTCAAGGCGGACCATGAGGATTTTTTATACTTTTGTAGCTGAGATTTTTTTTTCGGTCGAGTCGGAAGCTAAAATGTCTGAGCGATTTGTCACCATGAGCCATGACACCCAAACTGACTGTTCCATCGAAACTCTATAATAGGGCACGCGGCCATCTAGGGAAGTGTGTTTCGGTTTGTAAATAGCACGCAGATCACTATGATTTTAAGATTGTGGAAGACGCCGATGGGCTCCGCTTTGGCGAGGCCGAAGTCTCGGTCACCCCGCTTTCAGGTTTCAAACCGCAGTAACTTGGATCCGACAGGCGGACAAATTGCTCTCAAATTCGGCTATAGCGTTGATCATAGATCCACTCATTCCACCATGGCTGTATATCACGCATTCTGGCGATACTAGAGGACCGGACGGTAGGCAAACCTCAATCCGCTCCGCCCACGTTTTACAAAAAAACATGATCTACCTTCCATGCGTACCATGTCTGCCATGTGTCCCGACGAGCCTAGGCCGTCGCATAAGCTTTACTGGCGACATTATAGGGTTCAGCCAGTGTATAAGCCTAGAGTGAAGTATTTGCCTGAAAGACTTGAGGATCGACCATGTCAGTGAATAAGTCATACTCATGGCCGAACTTGTAGGTAGCCCGAATGGCTCATAGATCGCTATTTCTCGCAGTGCGGACACTCTTGCTCTTTGAAAGTCGGAGAACCGTCTCGTTTAACGACTAAATTAGAAAAAAAAAAAAAGTCTACTTTGTTCAAATTTTGGTACAACTTTGGTATAAATATACCTCTTGTCGCGAAAAAGACTGAATTTAGCACTGTCGCCGGAGCTACCCAGCGAACTAAAAGTAGAAGAAAAAAAAATTACATTTGATACTTCAAACATTTAGGGCATAAACCAACGTCGCCATTCCTAAACATTGACTAATTGCATTCTTGTCATTGTGCTTCAAGATGGCAGGCACACCAAGGGATATCCCTATAGTGTTGATGGGCACGACCAAAATGAGATTTCAGTTGTTGATATCACGAAAATTTATAATGGATGTGGGAAATACTAAACTAAAACTAAACTAAAGAAAAAGTATGAAACAAGTATATAAAACAATATATAGAGTGATCGTTGAATCCGATCTTCAAAAATTACAATGACAGTATTTACGGGTATAATCGCAACCGTATTAGACCAATGACTTTTAGGACAGTCACTGGATGCGATTATCGAAAATCCAATGAGAATTTACAATAGAAACCAAAACAACGGTATTACACAATAGCTCTCGTGGCATCTTGTACCATAGCTTTCGTACAATGTTGGCCGCTGCTCCTACAATGGGTAGAGAAATATATGAGTATATTTTTTTTTGGGGGGGGGATGATGGTCCACGTGGGAAGAGCTTTTGGCTACAAAGAATACGTACCTGATGGAGTCCAAATATGCAAAATCTGTCTCTCAATGGGCTCATTGGCCAAGGTCTGGTTCGAGTAGAAAACACCACGTAGTTTTTTCGTTAATAAGCGTTTCGCATCCTCGGGTCTGAATTTTCGTTGATAGGCCATGGCTCGTGTGACAGAAACGGCAATCCGCTTAGCGGGTTGACCATTCATAGCGGGTATAATACAAGAATAATCAGTGATGGGGGTATTAGAGGTGGAGTAGACCAATTCCATTTCGGTCTTGGACATCTTGGCTCCAAGGAGTCGTTGCATAAGCTCCATTGACATGACTTCACTCAAGATACTGGTACCTCCTGCATTGGGGGTGGCCAGCATTCGTCTGGCGTCACGACCAAGCTGGACATAATTGAACTCTTGCTGCATATCAACGTTATGAAGGAAAAACGCCGGAGTCTCACGATAATGCGACAAGTGGCCATACATGCCGGCTATGGTGTTGGCCGATGTCCAAATGGTCATATCTCTATAACGCAAAGTCAGGTAGTCTGACATCATGGCTTTCACATTCCTGATTACTGCCACTTTGTTGGCGGTTGAAGTAGTAATGGCCACAGTTGGATAGTTGAATAATATACTTGTGGCCTCCAAGATAGTCATGATCGACTTCATCAAAGTACTCTTCCATGTTAGCGTGGTTGGATAGATGTGTGGAAAGGCTGTAGGTAAAGCTCGACATGGTAGAAGGGTATAAGGAGCGATGTGAGAGGTTGATCTGGCGATGGCTCGTTTGGAGGATGGTTTAAATAGATATTTCAACATGGGGAGGTACAACGAGTAAGATGAAAGAACTGAGCAAGCTATGGGGACCTGCTGACCTGTTGAAATGTAATTCCGACGACGCTGAAGCCAATGGCATGTCGCGATAGAGGGGGTATGACGAGAAAGCCATGACTGACTGTTACAATGCAAAGCAAAGCAACCGTAAGACTGCGCCACATGCTGCGCATAGCTATGGCCCTGAACATCTAAGCGTAGGTGAGAGTGCCAAGACGTAGGTGTATGGTCTGGTTGCTTGCAGGCACGTAGAGTCGTCATTGCCAACAGGCAGAAATACAACTACGCTATGATTTCATTGTCTAAATTTAGGCGGCGTGGCTGGCTGACGATCATCGCACTGACAGATCAAGCCTGAGCGCTCGAGTTGCTTCTGCCGCAGTCAGTGCAACCATTAGCACCTCGAAATACCGCGTGCCATTGGAATATCCAAGCACTCTAGTGATAAAGCAATGCAGTTTATTATGATTATACATATATTTTAAAGATTTTTGTAGCATAGGGTAAGGCGAACGAATGTGGTGACAATTTCATGTTCTATAATAGACGGAGGCCCCCTGTTAACATATTGCTTTTGTATAGCAGCCATAGTTGTAATTCAGATGAGAAATTATAAAAAGAAATCTACGAGTCCCTGTGTTTGAGCTTGATGACCAGCATAACTCAATCAAAATGTATACTTTGATCATCACCGAAGTAGCTCATTGTTTTCGATGATGTTTTGAATATTAGCCAGCATGTCCTTGTAACGAAATTTGATCATCTAAGAAAGAAACCGCGTCAGTCAGTCTCACCCATGGAGGTATATCACCCATGTCCTATGCCTTACCTCAGCTAGCTCAATGTAGCGATAGTACGCCATGCCACTTCCCGAATGACACTCAACATGCCTTGGGAGGACATAAGTGGCAACACTGGAACAAAATATGAAACGCATTAGTTTTCGTCTGCATGAACACACTCTTCTTCTAGACCGCATTAACTTACATCATAGCCTGCATTCCATGGATATATGCGTCCTCGTATTCCCCCTCAAGTTGTAATTTCCGCATATTCACAAACAAGTCGGTGGCAAATGAAATCAGATCTTGAAATGACATGTATTTCACAAAGTCCATGTTACTTTGCGCGTATCGACGTAATCGCTCTATAGTGGGTCCAACTTTGGGCATCTGAGCGCTTCTATCCGGTTCATGTGACACAGGCGGTTGCCTTGGACTAGGAGCTGCCTTGGAAGAGTTTAATATTGATGCCGGCGATGTAGAATAGATGCCTTCGCCACCCGTATTGGAGGGGGAACGAACACTATTTGTATTGCGAAACGTATGGTCTGGGTGGGGTATTGGAAGCGGTTTGGAAGCAATGCTTGTTCTGTGGTCTAGGAAGTTGTTGTTGGAGGCAACGCTGGTTCTGTGCTCTTGTGAGTTGTTTGATACAATGCTTGGTCTATGGTCTTGCGTATTGTTGCTGGAGGCCATACTATATCTGTGTTCCTGTGAGCTGTTTGATGCAATACTCGATCGATGATCATGCAGACTGCCGGATGCAACACTTGATCGGTGGTCTCCAAATGAGTCAAGATGATCAGGTACAGAGGCACCCATAAGATTGGGTGGTACTTCTGAATCCGAGATGTTATCATCGTCTGAAATGGAATTTCGCGTTTCAACAACGACAGGCTTAGGTGGTGGTGGTGGTTCGGTTGGCAGATGCGTGCGAGAGCCATGATTTGCACTTCTTGACACATCACCCTTCTTGCCAACAAGAGATCCGAACGGAGTGTAGTGAGATGTATGTGATGTGTAAGATTGCTGTGTTTTCGATTCCTTTCGCCTAGGAGGTTGCGGTACAGTAGATGTAACCACTTTATTTGTGCTGCCGTCGACTTTGATGGTCTTTTTACCGCCTTTGAAGCCGCCAAAAAACGACTTGCTAGCTTTGGCAAGGGTTCCAGCCGAAGTGGATGCATGCGATACAGAACTTATAATAGTTCCTTTTGACGAGGTTGACGATGCTATGGATGGAGACGTTGGTACCTGAGTGTCCGACACCCTAGTGTCAGGTACCTCAGGCTTCTGCATCGTTGTTTGTTCTCTCATGTCATTTACAGGACTATCAAGCTCATCGGGCTTGTAGAAAACATTGCTTGCGTCCTGTAAGCTCAGCGTAATGGATTCTACAGGTTCTAGTACATGGGTAACCACCGAGTCTGATCTTGCAACGTACGGACGGTTAACATCAGTCTGCGAGCCTTGGATCTCACGCATCTCTGGGGCATGCGTTTCGTCATTCGTTCTCTGCAGCAGCATTTGAGGAGGAATATCTAATGGAAAGATGTCAGATGAGGGACTCATCGGAGATCCCTCAGGAGACTGTTCATGGTGAATTCCATTATACTGCGATGAGCGTGAGATAGAATTGTGAGCGCTTCGGGAAGGGGTAGGCTCATCGGGGGGCGCATATCCATTATGAAAACCAACGGTCGGGTAGGATGTTACATGAGGACTAGGTAACGGTGATGGTTGAGAGTTGGAATAGTTGCTAGGCTGGGGAATGTCGTCCTCGTCCTCATCGCTACTAATATCCGAGTCTCGAGCATACCTACGCCGACTTGTCATTCTATTGAATTTCTTTAAATTCTGTTGTTCAAGTTGGTTGTTGATTTCATCCACCATCTCGGTCATTGTTTTTGATGCTGCGTAACTTGACCGAATTGATCCGTTATGAGCTCGACCCGTGATAGTAGATGCACGGCTAGGGCCATCATACGTGTTTGTTTGTTGTGTATGCTCCCTTGCCACCGAAGAACCAAGCATATTATATGCATCAGTCAATATAATATCGTCATTGGACATAAGGGGTTCAGACAATGATAAGGAGCTGTTTATAGGGTGCAACATTTGTTCTTGTCCACCCATGGAAGCCGTATCATAGGTCATAGCACTGCTTGTGGAAACATGCCCTGTAGTCGACTCTGAGTGCACAGACATATTATCTTGGTTGGTGTTATGGAAGTGTGAAATGCTGTCGGTTGATAAAAATGAGCGGTGATCGTTGTCTAAGCCGATCACTGTAGATAGTACAGGAGAGGCTGGTGGCGTTATCCTATCAGTGGACTTCAAGGTCGGTGAACCACCTTGTAAAATGGCGGTTTCACGAGCTATCACGACAGGTACAGTGGACCTCATAAACCCAGCGAAATTATCCAAAATTTTCTGCAAAATACAGTGTTAGCTAGAGCTTGGCGAATAGGAATAGCATAGAAGGGTCTGTTACTTTTCTGAGTAAATCATCTGCACTTTGCTCAGACACAGCCATGTGTGGGTGATTGGGGTGTACGGGTATAATGTTATAGGAAATTCTGCCCGAACGTCGCCGCCGTTAGTACCGAGTGGAGTTGCGGAACGGAGTAGGTTATATATTTTACGTTGATTACCTGGAAGCTATAAGAAACTTAATGTACGCGGCGTCTGAATCGTCTCTGAGAATCGCTTCATCAAACTGATAGAGGCATCGAATACATGTTAATATGAAAGTGGGTTTGATATCGTCGGATCTGTGAGAGCTTACATCGCGCAAATATTCATGTCCAAGCTTTATCCACTCGCTGATAGACTTCGTTTGAACTTCGTCCAACTCGACGTTTGCTTGCCGTTGCAGAAACTGCCTCAAGTTGGTGTCTTGAGGCAACGACTCTGAGCTAGCGTTCGGTAGCTGTAGTTGAACCATATCAAATAAGTTGGCCAAACGATGGGTTTGGTGATGAGGTTGTTATATCAAAAGGGTCACTATGGAAAAAGAGGAAGAAAAAATACAAGGAAAGTAAGCTTTGCTGCGACGTTTATATTCAGTTTGCTTGTGACCTCGTCAACCCCCACTAAACGCTTCAGTACCTGTGTAACCCTCTCAGTGTGACTTGACTGATAGAAAAGGAATACCAAAAACAAAGCCTCCACTATGTTCATTTAGACCACCACCATGGAAATAATCTTGATCCACTGGCTATTGGAATGAAGTATGAGGTTTATTACTTGGTGTTGGAGCTTCACTTGGGCTGGGTGGACTGGAAAGATCAAAAATAGATCATGATCAGATAGCGCATCGATGTGTCATACCATCCCTCGCTACAGAGGTACGCAAAACAGTGTGTTCAGCTTGAAGTCAAGTTTTAAAAAGACAGTTCTCGGCAGACTACGGCACTTCCACATTGCGCACAGCAAACAGGTTGGCTGCCTTTGACGTCTCACCTTTTATGGCAGTGCCAAGCCTGGTGGCACGGATCAACAGAACGAGAGAAGCTCTCAGCATTTGCTCATGATAATTTATCCGATGAAAGGGTTGGGATGCTGCGTGGTGCGCAGCAACATGGAAAATGAAAACGTGCTATGGAATTAAGCATTGCTCATAACTCTGACCCCTTAGCATTATCTTTCAAGGAGGGGGGTTCTACTTACAACCTTGAATGTGTGCATGGCTGGCATGTTTTGCTCATAAAAATAACATACTGGCTGGCTGGGGGTTGTACAAAGCTCCAGGGCAGGTCAAAGGCAGGGCGGGCAAATTTGGCACCCGCTTGCCAAGTCGCTTACAACTTTACAACTCTCTCATCAATGTCACGATTCGTTCGTTCGTCCAAATACAGGTATGTATACTTTTTCTCTTTTCCACTGGATGGCAATGTTGGCCGAATGCTCTAAGCATATCACTGGAATGACCTTGATCGCCATTTCATTTCATCCTCATTTTTTCGCCACTAACGTCATGCCTATAGACACGTCTTCGGTACAGCCGCCAAAAGAGATCAGTGCTACGATAATCTCAGAGTCACCAACAATGCTTGGGACAGCAATATCGTTAAGGCCAATCCTGTAAGTAGATCGGTTAGCGGCCAATAAAGGAGGCGTTGCATAGTGTTATTGGCACAGCCTTCATGGAGAGTGAAGGTTTCGGAGGTGGGAAACGAGAGTTGCATGCCGAGATCAAAGGGTTTTCTAATACGTCTCTCAATGGATACAGTTGTTTATTTCCGTGAATTGGAATTCGTCCGGTGGAGGTGCCTTTGTAGTCATTCCGCACGATACTGTTGGTGAGTGTAATAAAATGAGCAAGGCGTCATATGCGTACAAGGAAATCATGCCAATGGCTGAGTGAACATGTGTTACTATATAGGAAAGTTGCCCGATAACTATCCTCTCTACCGTGGACATACTGCTGCCGTCTTGGATACCGACTTTCATCCTTTCAACGACTATGTCATTGCTTCCGGTGCTGAAGATAGCAAAGTCATGATCTGGAATATCCCTGAGAAATATGAAGAAGAACAAGAAGAGATTGCCCCTGTTCTCAAGCTTTCTGGTCACGGCCGGTAAGTTCGGTGTGGGGGGTTCATTGTTATTAGCCACAATGGCTGACATTGGTCCATGACTACTTTTTTTATTTTCCCTGACTTCAGAAAAGTCGGCCATGTTCTCTTTCACCCAACGGCAAACAATGTTTTGGCTTCGGCAAGTACCGATCTTACCATCAAGCTTTGGGATATTGAAAAGGGTCAGGAGAGACAGGAAATCACTGGCCATGGTGAAATTATTCAATCCATGGCATACAACTACAACGGCTCTCTCATGGCTACCACTTGTCGCGACAAGAAGCTTCGAATCTTCGATCTTCGAAGTAATAAAATTATTCAAGAAGGCGCTGGCCACCAAGGTATCAAGGGATCTCGTGTGGTGTGGCTAGGTGAAAACGACCGTATCTGTACCACCGGATTTTCTCGTATGAGCGATCGTCAACTCAATTTGTGGGATACTAGTGATCTCAGCAAACCCATTAAGTCTGAATTCTTGGATACCTCATCTGGTGTTCTGATGCCGTTCTATGATCTCGATACCAAAATGCTATACCTTGCCGGCAAAGGGTAAGTTCGCATCTATGGCACGTACATGGCGCCGACCCAATAGCATTGAACATTTTTTAAATTTTGCTTTTGTAGTGACGGCAACATCCGCTATTATGAATATGAGAATGATGAAATGTTCTTCTTGTCTTCTTACCAATCTCCTGAACCCCAACGTGGTATGGCCTTCTTGCCTAAACGCGCCGTCAATGTCAGTGAATGCGAAGTTGTCCGTGCTTATAAGGTCACTAGCAGCATGGTTGAGCCCATTTCATTCAAGGTTCCTAGAAAGGTAAGAGAGCTTGTTTCAACGTGATGTGTCTGTATGAGATTCTAACTGTCCGTTGGTATAGTCCGATGCCTTCCAGTCCGATATCTATCCCCCAGCCTTTGGTGATGAGCCTAGTTTGACTGCTGATGAATGGTTCAGCGGAAAGGATGCTGATCCCAAGACCATCAGCCTGGAAGATGGTTTCCAAGTCAAAGCTAAGCAAGAATTCGTGACATCTGCTCCTGAAGAATCTTCTGTCTCTGCTGAGCCATCGGCAGTTGCTTCCAAATCAGCAGCCTCCCGATCCATGTCTTCCGATGAGGTAAGAGAGTTTTTTTTTTTTTTTTAAAAAAAAAAAAAAGAATTAGCTGAAGGATTCCCATGTTAAAAAATTGATATGCAGGGTATTGCCAAGCTTCGTCAGGAAAATGACGATTTGAAAAGCACCATTTCCGAAAAGGACGTGAAAATCCGTAACTTGGAACTCGAACTGGAAAAGATGAGAAATGCGTTGGCTGAGGCTAATTTGGCCAAGAAGGTGGCGTCCACCCCATCACCGGCTCCTAAGGAGGAGGAAGCAACCTCCGATGCTGCTGCCGGAGCTGCTGCTGCTGCCGCGGACGAAGAGAAGCAGGAGGAAGGTGTCGTGTCGTCCAACTCTGTGTCTGGAAATGCGGAAGATGTTGAGCTCCCCCACAACAGCAACTCACTTACAGAATGAATTATAGTATAGTTTTTGCGGTTTTCGAATTGAGATGTGTGATTTTTTTTCTCAAGAAAAATAAAATATCGTTTGGTTCAAATGACAAATGTGAAGTTTATTGTACAAAGCGGGGGGATGGTATACTTGACATGAAGAGCCACATGTAAAAAAGTCAATTATGGCCGCCGGCCCATTCGTTGATCCGTGCGTGAAAGAAACCAGTTGATCAAAACTGGCTACACTTGTAGTGGTCGTCCGTGTTCCAATATTGCATCATGTTGATGACGCCTAGGTAATGAACAACAGCAGCAATCACCACACAAAAGTGGAATAATTGATGACTTGCGCACCAAATATTGAATTTGCCTGGCCAAAAGCATTCGGGTATTCTAAAGCCATAAATCAACACGCCGACAATGTACGTCGCGCCCATACCCAGTAGATAGCCCAACGACATTGTCTCGAACGATAAGGGTAATTTGTAGATAGTGCCGGCATGAATGACGGGTATCAAACCAAACAAGCCAAGAGCCAAAAAACAGCCAGCTCGAAGCCAGCGGTAGTGTGGAGTGCGGAACGTTTTCATCAAAGTGACAGCGATCTACAGCATGACATATAAAAAAAAAGTTTAGGGAGACATATTCAAGTTCAAAATACCATAACATTGTAAACCTTACCGTTGCAGCTCCAATCACGGTAATAGCGGATATGTAGCCGATCATAATTGTTCTCTGACAGTAAAACCCATAATAGATAGTGGGGTAATACGATCCACTAAACAATGTGCAATAGAATGAGTGGGACATGTCGCCGTCAACGAACCTCCTCTATGATGAACTTACAGAGTCAGGGTAACGATCCCTAGATAATCGGCTCTAACCCAAGACATGCATACCTAATAGGGAGCAGTAATTTTTTTTTGTTTAGTCTCCAACGCCGTTATGAGATGAAGGGATATGGAAGGGGGTGACTAACCGTTTCGCTATGGGCAATGAAGCAATGAAAGCTTGAACTCATGCTCATGCACACCATGGCACCAAGAATGAAGATGTAAAATACAGCTATATCGGCCGATCCAAGTACCGGTCTCAGAGGGGCTAAGAAGACGAACCAAGAAAAAATGCCAATGATGATGAAGAGGATCACACCCAGCAAATGGGACCAGATGTTGACTGCGAAAGCCAATAAAAAAAGTCAGTTTGAGACAAAATGCCAATGCTGGTGGAAAATTGATCCAATGTGGTCTTACCGGACTCGTTATGTTGGTAAAAAAGACTTTTCAGGCAGTGCTTATAGGAAAAGAGTGGTGGTCGATAGGCATCGGTAATAAGGGCATTGTCCTGCATCCATACCGGTACTTTTTCAAACGCTACAGTGCGTTGCTGAGGAAATTTGTCGTCTTGTGCAATTTCTATGTGTACCTCAGTTACATGTTGGTCATTGGCAATGGTTTCAGTTGATTCATCCCAAGCCATCAGCGATGCATCTTTGGAACCTTTATCCACATTGTCGTATTCTATGGGTGATGTGGTCATTTAATACATGGGAAGGGGGGAGAAAAGACGTGTGGTTCAGTTGGGTAGTGGAATAAAGGATACTGTGGTCGGAGAAGTAGAACAAAGTGGTAATTCATTGGTTTTGGAGGTCATCGTGACTGCTTCATTCTGTGCCGGTGTCCGGCTGGCTGGAGGATCGTCAACATGGCCGGTGTGTCTGGAGATAGCGGGCGGGGTTGAAGCAACGAGTTAAGTGGTAAGAAAAAACATTTTTAAAAAATGATCTTCCAGTAGAGATCCATGATCGTTCAACACACTGGCTAGATCACTCGATCTCATCTTTACACAAGCTAAGTTGATCTAGATCATACTTTATGAGCGTTACATGTGCACACAGGCAAAATCAAGGGTTCAGGGTTTTGACACTTGCTGCTGAACCAAATTGGGGCCCTAATCACACATTTGTGTAACGTGTGGGATGCTCTCGTAAGCAAATGGCTCAGGTGACAACATTCTACTGTGGGTATCGATGGGAAAACCCTGTCCAGCTTATCGTCACAACCAAAGCAAGTCGCCTACCAACCACCTTACACGCCTGTGGATAGAAGGGTATGTGATTTTTATGTGAGCAAGCGTACTCCGTTGCGCTAAGGCAGTGCGCGTGGTGGCTCTGGTCTGCCATTCACAAGCTCGCTAACACTAAACGGTGTCCCGCAGTGGGAATTTCCGTTTTTGGGGAGATTGGACATTTACAGTATCCGGCGTATTTCATTTTGTATGTCTTCAGCGTCTTTCTTCAAATTACCTACACTAATTTTCTCTCCTCTCTCTCTCTCTCTCTCTTCTTTTTCTCTTGCCACCCTTTGCGTTTTCTGCCTTGATTCAACTTCGATCTTATGGACTCACAGGTAAAAATTTCCACCTGCGACGGCATTTTGTTTCAACCCCCCCCCCACCCACCCAGAAACTGTCAAAAAAGAAAACATGGCTGCGGGGTCCAGGCAGCTTTCATTCAATTTGTTTCGCCACTCACTCACCCACTCACATTATTTAGACACGCGTGTTCTCACCTATCATCCTGTTTCATGAAAATGATGCTATTTTACAAGATGACCTATCCGTGATCCAGCCCCACAAAGATAGAGTGCATCATATGTTAGAGTGCAACGAAAAATACTGGAGACACATCAAACAGACGAATCCAGCAGGTTAGGCCCATTTTTCCTTTTGCGTGAAATTGTCAGTCCAGTCTGGCCCTCCAGTACTAACACCGCAGCAATCCCCTTTTTCGAACAAAAAACCCTAAATTAGAGTCAAGCTCTTCATCCTCTTCATCCGACACGAGCTCCCCTTCACCTTCTACTTCGGATGACCTTCAAGCCCACAAACGTCGGCGCGGCAATTTACCAAAGCCCGTCATCACGTTACTGCGAACTTGGCTCATCAATAACAAACGACACCCTTATCCGAGCGAGGAAGTTAAACGACATTTGGCGCGACAAACCGGGCTGACCAAGAGTCAGATTAGTAATTGGTTTATCAATGCACGAAGGCGTATTTTGAAAGAAATGATTGACGTGAGTCAAGATGGAAACCCTCTGGCGAAAGGACGACGGCTGCCTAGAGGAAAGCGAGCTACGAGCGTGGAGGACGAGTGATATGGTTGTTTCTTATGGCGACACTCTTTTTTTTTTTGTACATAATCTCATTATTTGTCTGCCCGTTGTATTTTTTTTTCTCACTTCAAAACATCACTCATCCTCTCCACTCACTCACACACACACATATTTTAAATACACTCTATATATTTATCTGTGAATTTTGTACTGCATACTGGTGGTTCAAAATGCCAAACGGATGTGATAAGGTTTTTTTTCCATCCATGTCAGCAGGTTGGGGGGCATTTTATAAAAAATCTCGGCAGCACATGGGAAAATCAGGAATAATCTGGGGGGTGGGTTAAGAAATGTCAGAGCTTTTTTGCTATCCGTGCACAGCAGCATGGACCTCCCCCAAAAAGTGATCGCCCTGTTGATGTCCAAAAGGAATACGTACACACAATAGCAAGATGAGCTTAGCTTAGGCATGATCAAAAAAGAAATGAGTTTATTCCAAATTTTACGGCCTTGATGGTCTAGTCATGGCGTGTTTTGCTATGCTGAATCCTACTGTCTCTCCCGTCCTGTTTCGCCGTGCGAAGAAGAGAGGGAGATAAGGAAGTCCTAAAGAAATGGAGTGTGGGTTTTACAAAAACTAACAAATATGCTGGAGAAAACCCATTTGGGAAATGTAGCGGCACGTTTATTGATGCTGTTTTGCAGCGAGATAGCTTGATCGTCTGCGTAGGGAGTGGCCAACATGGCCCAAAAAAGCAAAACAAGACACCACCACCAAATTATGTGTACAAGTGCGGGGTAGTTCCAGGTAAAGATAAGTACCAGGCTATTTTTTTTTTTTATTATTTTTTCCCATGAGCAAGTCAATCAGTGTAAAGCTTGATAGAATTTGATAAAGAAGAAGGGAAAACCGGCCGTGTTTTGCGGAGGACCAAATGAAGACCTTGCTTGCCTGGAACTTTCCGATTATCAGGACTTTTTTTTTTCTTATATCTTTTTGGGCTGATAACGAAAGGCGACATTTTTTATTATTATTATTATCGATGTATGGAAAACATGATGCGCTCGGCGGCTTCGATAACAGGTGGTATGATCAGGATGGAATCGGGTCGGTTCGCATTTTACATTTGGCAGTGGAAATAAGTGATAGCATAAAAAAATTAAAAATGGGATGTAAAATAAAATAAAGCGGGGTGAGGCTCAAAGGATTTCTCATCATTGTTTCTTGTCTCCCCCCAAAACCGTTATAAAATGGGCGCTTTAATAAATAAATTTGACCAACAAGATATGATATAAAAAGGTCCTTGGGGGTTGGGCCGAATTTTCTTTCTTCATCCGCAAAACATTACTGAAGCGTTTCTTTTTTCATTTGGTCTGCTTTTGTTCGTCTTTATATTTTACATGCCCTACACTGCGTCGCAAACCCTTGTTATCAATGCATCACCGACGCCATCCGTCCAGCCGCCGCCGCTTAGCTCGACCGTCCCTCGACATTGGGCCAACCATCGACGTGTTTCCCTGAAGAAAGGGTCAAGCGATACCGCTGCACATGGCCCATCGTCTAAGCTGTCCAACAAACCATCCTCCGAGCTATATCTCAACCTGGACACTTGTACTTCACCTATGGTACGAAAGAAAAGTGGTGAAATTGTCAAATCTTCCCTCAAGTGCAAATCTGCACCTACCACTCCGACGTGTCCAAAATTTGTCCACTTCAATGCTGAACTGGAGCACGTGCGTCTCTTCCTCAAGGGCCAAACCCCCACGGCTGTTCACGGTGATCCTCCGGAAGTAGAGAACGACGACGATGATGATGATGATGAGGAGGATGTCGGTGGTATCATGATTAAATCAAAACGTTTGGAGATCAAGTGTTCAAATTGGCCAGTTCCTTCATCATCTCTTATGGCTAAAATGGTGTCCGTGGAATCCATCAAACTGGCGCAAGATCAGAAATCCTTGGTTGGAAGTTGTCAAGTGGCCAACATCTCATTTCACAAACAGGTCCTTGTTCGATACTCGTTCAATTACTGGCAAGATACCCACGAGGTGGAAGCTTCTTATCGTGAACCCTGCGCATCGGGGGATGCCAGTAACTCAGCGCTGGATCGGTTCATGTTCAATCTTCCCATCCACGCCAATCAAACCTTGTTTCTCTGTGTCAAGTACACAGTCAATGACCGCGAATTCTGGGATAACAATGAAGGTCGTAACTATCAAGTGGATGTAACCACTGCCGCCAATAAGAAACAGCGTCGCAGACAACCGGTATCGGATGAATTACCTATCAGATCGTCTTCCCCCATGGATTTTGGAACATCGCCTCCCACTGTATCCATCAGTGAAAATAAGAACAAAATGTGGAACCGATACGATTTTGGCGCATCCTTGTCAGCTGCTAAACGAACGAACGCTCCCACTTACAAGCGTGTACAATCGTTCCCATCCTACTTTTCCGATGTTACTCAAATGGATGATATGATGAAACAACCGCCAGTTCAAGTAACCTCCTACAGAGACAATACCACGTCTGCCCCCATTGCTATACCTCGTCCTGCTCCCGGAACGCCCAGTTACTTTGATCTTGTCAATAAGTATTGCTTCTACGGCAATGAACACAATTCATCTATCTATTCCACATCCCCTAGCTACTCTTCCTCCCCGGCTATCCGTGGCTAGAACCTTTGCTTCAGGGCAGCAGCAGCAGTTTTGGTA